ACATCCTTGGTTATTATTTTCTGCCTTATATTGTCAAGCAGTATTGGTACATTGATGGGAATCGTAGATTGTAATTGTTTAGGAATGTTAATTAAAACCCAGGATGTACCACTAACTTGTAAAACCCCTGTTCTCTGCTGCATAGACATTTCCAAACAGAAATAAGCCCACTTTATACTATTGCATAACGTGTAAGATGCAGTGTTTCCTACCCTCTAGTTTTCAGAGCCTCTGATTTGTATGATGTGTCTCCCAAGGGAGGCACGAAGGCCTCACTGCTTTGGTATTGGAAAATCTGTCCTGACTTTGAGCCTGCATCTTCTTTGGCCCACTTTCAGAGCTGCTCATCTGGCAGAGCTCTGAACCTACAAATTGCAGAAGCTCTTTTATCTGTTTGGTGAAGCAATTCTCAGAGGAGGTTTAACAAAGGTTAGGGAACGAATATGCAAACTTTAAAATGCAGAACTTCAGTTTATGCAAGTTTCTGCTTTTCTCTCTCTTTTTAAGATAAAAATGAGCCAGTTTCCATAAGTTACAATTCCAGACTTGAAATTTAAATTGACTGAACAGGAGAGGCATCTGTGAAGCATTTGTCAAGGATTTCAATATGAGGAGCTAGTCAGATGTTATCCCCTTTGGACACAGTAGGACTTTGATATGAGTGTCTTTCTGTTTTCTGTTCTTTGAATTTTCAAAGTTGATAGTCACAATGGGCTGGAGATATGGCTCAGCGCTTAAGTACACTGGTGGCTCTTGCAGAGGACCTGGGTTCTATTCCCAGCACCCACATGGTGGCTGTCAGCCATCCATAACTCTAATTCCAGGGGATCCGACCCTCTCATCTGATCTCCGTGGGCATTGCACAACATGGGTGCACTTACATGCATGCAGACAATACACTCATATACATAAAATAATAAAAAATAACAAATAAAATATTTTAAAAAGATGGCAGTCATAAACTAGGAGTGGGAGAAGATGCAGATGGAGGTGTGTGATGAGTGTGTGATAAAATCAGCTAGGAACACCTTTCCCACTTGTAGTTGGTTCATCCTATTAGTGTTGTGAAGGCTACTCTGAGCTTCCTTGTGTGAAGATAAAAAGGTTTAAACCATCTATTGCTAAAAACCAGATATAGGTCTAAAAACCATCTTTTGCTAAAAAACAATGTAGGAATATACTAAAGAAGATCACTCACTCAAGGAAATAGATCTGTATACAGCCTATAAATTATATGCCTATATATGTTCTTAGGCAGAGATCTGCCTATATATTGGTTTTTTAGCTACAAGTCTTTGCTAATATGTTTGAACTGAACCATTGCCTATTGGGTTTCTTGCTGACTTATTTCATGGCAACACAACTAATTATTTTAGGAGTTGTACCTATTCAAGTGACTCCCTAAAAGGAAATTTCAATTTTATTGATTCACTGATATCTCTTTATTCCATATTCTTGAATATTATCTTTCAGGTGTTTTGGCAGTATTTACTTATTTCTTGAAAGGTTTTAAATTACATTTTATTTGTGCGTGTATGTGTGTGTGTGTGTGTGTGTGTGTGTGTGTGTGTGTGCATGCACGTGTGCTTGGTGACCTTTGTCTTTTCCTACTTTGTCATCTTGATCCTTGATTAAAACATTTTTTTCTTTCAAATTAATACAGAATGAATTCCATCTGGTTAAAGTTAAAATAATTTAAATACTACTTAATGTGCTATGTTTATATAGATTGAGTACTTTATAAATTATTTTGTCAGTTTCTATTGATATTTTAAATTGTGAGACAAATTTGGTGTATTGTCTGTTGAGTGTTTGTAATTGATGAGCAGTTTTGGGATTGATTTGCTGATAAGAAATGACTTGTAGCCGGGCATGGTGGCGCACACCTTTAATCCCAGCACTCGGGAGGCAGAAGCAGGCGGATCTCTGTGAGTTCGAGGTCAGCCTGGTCTACATAGTAAGTTCCAGGACAGCTGGGGCTACTGAAAAAAAAAAAAAAAAAAAAAAAAAAAAAAAAAAAAAGAAACGACTTGTTACCCTTCACTTGCAAAGGGGGTGGCCATAGCCACCTACCTTGTACTTTTCCACTTGACCTCATGTATCCTTACTATCTACAGTGTCAGGGATGGGCACTGATGGTATGGGGTGGATAGATGGGCCTAAGCAGCAGTTGGTGTTCAGCTATGAAGGAAAGTGTGCTGGTGGTCACAACCTGAAGGAAAAGAAGCTCTTTCTGGGGCTAGAGAGATGGCTCAGTGGTTAAGAGAACTTGTTGCTCTTGCAGAGGATCTGGGTTCAGTTCCCAGCACAACATCAAACAGCATTGGTTGGCATAGAACCACTTGTAACTCCAGTTCCAGGGAATAGGGAGCCTTCTTCTGGCCTTCTCATGCCCTGCATGCACATGATGCACATACAGACCAGCAAGCACATATATTCACATAAATACAAGTAGTTAAAAACACTCAAAAATAGAAGTTAGAAGAGTTAGAAGATTTTGGATCCATTTTCACTGCAGCTCTTCCAGGAAGCTTACCATTCTACTTGCTATGCTTGTGCTATCCACCAGCCATGAGGGGACTGGACTTTCTAGGAAGGCAACATTATCTTTCTGTTCAGGAAACTGAAAAAATTCTTGCCAGCCATGAGCAGGTGAGATGGCTCAGCAAGTAAAGGCACTTGCTACTCAAGACTGGCCACCTGAGCTTGGTCCCTAGGTCCCATGTAAAAATAGAAAGAGATAACCAACACCACAAAGTTGTCCTCTGACCTCCATGGGGACACCTTGGCTAGTGTGCCCACACATATCTGTATATATATAATAACAAAAATTAAATTTATAAAAAATTCCTGGCAGCGAAAATTTTCCCTGATACCAGTATAGAATACTAGAAAAACAATTTATTTTTGAATGTGCATATCAGATTAGGTGTACAGAGGCAGTTGGCAGGAGACTACAAAGTCTAGACACAATTTAACAAAAAAATACAGTAAACTGGGAGAAAAAGAAGTGAGCATTCATCTCCTTGAAGGATGGACAGATACTCCTTAGGCTCAGGATAATCTCTTGTCCTCCCAATGAGGGCTCCTGTGTTTCCTGGGGTCAGGATACCAGGTATACTTAATGCTGGACCAAAATATTTGGCCTCTTAATCGTGTGTGTGTGTGTATATATGTGTGTGTGTTTTATTTATTCACAGAGTTCAAAATTCATCCAACAACTCATTGTCCGCTGATCCTTTATTTCATTTGGATTTGGTTCTGTTCTATAGTGCAATTGCTTATCATTCAAGCTATGACTTGGGATGCCTGTGCAAAAGACTCATTTGCCAGACCTGATGTTCTAGGAAATTACAAGTACAATGTCAGGAGAATGCACAAGCAAATTCAGATCTCCAGCTTTTGTAAACTGGAAGTTCTGCCAGCAGAGGGAACCTCAATTCCCTTCCCACATGGCCATGCTGGGCTGGCACAGAGCCTGGAGCATCTGCAGATTCTCCATGTGTGAATGACAGTCATCAGGCATGCTTCATTCAGGTATATCAGCACGTGTATGCAGACCCCTCCTCATACCCCTTCTGCCTGGCCCCTGGTATGAGTTTGCTTCTTTGCTCAGATATTTTTAACTCTAGTTGTAGTAATGTCCCAGGGGATAGCATTCACGCTTGGTCCCTCTTGTCAAAACAGTGGGGTTAGAACTGCTAAGACTGTGCAAGGTAGTACGAGTGGAAAAGGGATGAGAGTTGGGGCTAGCCTGAACTGGTCACTCCAGGTCTAGCCTCTGTCTTCATGCTGTTGTTAAATGTCTTTAGAAGTTATCTGCCCCCTTAAGTTCAAGATTGTTCAATTGTATCATTTTGTGTTTATTGGGAGGTAATGAAAACGGTCTCCTCTGAATGGGGAGAGGGTGACCTGAACTTCGTATTTCTGCAGAGCTGAAGCACAAAGGAAGTATTCACCAAATATTTGTCTGATTGAATTATTAAACTGTATTCTGTCAGATAAGTCTCTGCAAATAAGTCTTTGCGCTGACTTAAAAAGAGAAATAAGAGATTAACATTCTGGATGAGTCTGTTTTTATTTTTATTAAAAGATGACTTCTGACATTTCCAAACTGTTTCCCAGAGTGTCTCTCATGTTTACAGCCTGGAACACAAAAACACCACACATGCTTTACAGTGGAATGCTGGGAAGACACACGTCTGGATTCATTTCAGTGTCTTCAGCTATGTTGTCCTCTGAGAAGTTGTGTTTTAAAATATAGTCCCATGCTGGAAACTAAATACCTTGCTTCCCTGTATGTCATGGTTTAGTTTTACTTAGCTCAGGTGCTGAGAACATGAATTTAGATGCAGCTCTTGCAGGATCAGATCCTGGTTCTGTGTTCCCTTGTCAGGCCTCCCTTATATATCTGTTTCCTCACTTATAAAATGGGGGCTTTAATGCTATTCACCTTAAAATATTACTGTGAAGAAAGGATACATATAAATAATGCATTTGTATAATTCTCTTAGAACATATCTATGCATAGTCCTTTCTATTATCATCTAAGAACATTTCACTATTCTCCTATCTGTTGTATGGTCCATGAGTTAAAATGTTAAGAACATATGGAATTTCTTTTTGTTGTTACATTTTTTTATTACATGATGATGTTGTTAATTTTTTATTACATGATGATGATGATGGTGATGTTGTTACATTTTTTAGTTACATGATGATGTTATTAATTTTTTATTACATGATGATGATGGTGATGATGATGATGATGTGTGTGTGTGTGTGTGTGTGTGTATGAACACCCATGCTATGGCATACCTGAGCAGGTCAGATGACTTGTGGGAGTTTGTTTTCTCCTTCCACTATGTGGGTCCCGGGGATCAAACTCAGGTCATCCAGGTCGTCAACAAGTACCTTTACCCACTGAGCCATTTCACTGGCCCTAGCATATGAAATTTCTGATTCTGAAGTAACCCATATTTACTTCTACTTTATTGTAGAGTGGGAAACCACCCATCAATGATATGTTCACAGACCTCAAAGATGGAAGGAAGCTCTTGGATCTTCTTGAAGGCCTCATAGGAATGCCATTGGTGAGAGGTTGTCTTTGAACAATTTTCTCAGTCAGGGTACCAATGACCCTCAGGCTGGCCCCAAACTCACTATGTAGCTGAAGATGATACTGATATGACCTTTCTGTCTCTACCTCCTGAGTCCTGAGAGTACAGGTGTGCCACCACACCAGGTTTATGTAGTGCTGTCACTGGAACCCAGGCATGCTAGGCAAGCACTCTACCAACTGAGCTATATCCTCAGCCTGTAAGAGAGGATATATTTGAGAATGAGGATAATTGGATTGCCTCTAGTCATTACTGATGATTGAAGACCCACCAAGGGTACTGAAATGTGAAGGGGAATGAAAATGACAACTTTAAATATTTATTATTTTTATTTTATGTGTGTGAATGTTTTGCCTGCATGATGCATGCAGTACTGGCAGAGGCCAGGAAAGGGTGTTGGATCCCTTGGAACTGGAGTTAGGGATAGTTGTTAGCCTCCATGTAGGTGCTGGGACTCAAACCTGGATCCTCTGGAAGAATAGCCAGTGCTCTCAACTGCTGAACTCTCTTTCTAGCCCCTGAAATGGCAAATTTAAAAAGAGCTTTAACTGATGCTTGGATACAGTAATATGTAGACTTTCTTGAAGGCTCTATTGTCATCAAATAGAAAAATTGTTTCAAATGTTTATTTCTCTGACAATATTTATTGCCCAGTCTAGGCATTTTTAAAAAATGTATTTATAAAAAGGGATAATGTTTTGAACAACAAGAATGTAGAGACAACTACATTTAAATGTGACTTAATAAATAAATGGTTGCTTTAAGCTATACCAGATATTTCTACTCAGGGTCTCAGTATCACTTTTGTGTTTCTTTCTTCATCAAATCCAAACCTGTTACTTTGTATATCAGTTTCTCTTTCCTCACTTAGAAATAACTGTTTGTGAAGATGTCTCTTATGGGTTCAGACTTTTACACTGGAGGAAGAATTTCTGTAAATTCAGAGAGACGATTGCCTGAAGATGAGTTCTTCCTTACACCTTCCCGCTGGAGGCTGGGTACCTTCGGATGGTAGTTGAGATTCCTAGGCCAGTGAGGTGGAAGGAAGTTACCTAGCTCACCATGTCTTAGGCCAGGACTTTCATGCCACCTAGAGCCTGGGACACTGCCTCTGAGTCCTCCTTATGCTTTTGACTTTACCTGGTCAGGATAAAGTAGACACAACTTCTCCTACAACTTTCTGCCTACAGTGCAGTTTATATGGAAGAGGCTTTGCTTGGAGCATTAGTTCTTAAACTTGTCTGCCTATTAGAAACACCAGGGCAGTTTTAAAAATTCAAAACCCACATCATATCCTGGGCCTCAGTCACTGTCTTGGTTTGGGCAGGACACATCCATGACTATGTTTGGAAGTTTCCTAAGAAATTCTAGTGGACAGGCAGGAGTGGTAAAAGTACGGTGAACATGCTATTATGGGAGAATTTGCATCCTGTCTAGGTTGGTGGGCTGAGTGCCTGGCTCCGGGGACACTGAATGCTGACCGGCTGGCCTGTGTACATTTCTATGTCAGGGTTTGTCAGCATATGGAAAGACCTGGGGTTTTATTTGCTTTTGTGTTTTATTTTCCAGCCAAAGGAACGTGGTTCTACAAGGGTGCACGCCTTAAATAACGTCAACCGAGTGCTGCAGGTTTTACATCAGAACAATGTAAGCTCATAAGGTGATTTTTGTGGTTTTCTTCTGCCATGGATGTCTTACTGTGAAACAGGCTGCTCACTGTGTACATTGGTGTTAACTGATCCGTGGAAACGTTTTTATTAGGGGAAGTATTAAACTTACTCTGTGAATGAAGGAACGGTCACATATCTTTGATGCCCTCATTGATCTGCTGTGTAAATAATACTGTTTTGAGTTTTGCATTGATCCAATTCCCTAAAATGAAATTTCTGTCACTCGTTTATACTGCTGTGCAAATGTGCTATATCAAAAATCTGAAGTCATTGTCCTGACAGTTATTTTTTCCTTCTGACAGGTGGACTTGGTGAATATCGGAGGCACTGACATTGTAGATGGAAATCACAAGCTGACTTTGGGCTTACTGTGGAGCATCATTCTGCACTGGCAGGTGAGGAGATTTCTAATCTCCTTTCAATGGACCTTCAGTATGTATTGCTTCTCTATTCATTTTCTAGAGCTGCCAGATCAAAGTTCCACAAACTTCTTGGTTTGAAGAATAGGCATTTGTTACCTCACAATTCTGAAGTATACGAGTCCAAGATCAAAGTGCCAGGAAGGCTGATTCCTCCTGAGAGCTCTGGGTAGAGAATCTGTTCCTTGTCTCTCTCCTAACTTTTGCTGGTCTGCTGGCAGACTCTGGGGGATGGCACTATGTTTTTGGAATCATAGCTGCAGTATTCATGACGTTCTCCCCGAGTCTGTGTCCAGGTTTCCCTTTGTTTTTTAAGGATACCATTTCTACTGTATTTAAGACCTACCCTTATTCAGTGTGACCTCACTATAAGTAGGTATGTGTGCAATGACCCTATTTCCAAATAAGACCTCATTTTGTGAAGCTGGGGACAGGACTTCAGCTTATTTACCATAGGACCAGACAGTTCAAATTAATGTACTCTGCAGTGAAAAAGTTAGGCAACTTGCTCTAGATTTTTGGCATGGGAAAATTTCTTTTCTTATGCTTAATTTGGGAAAGTGTCATAATTTCAGACTTATGAAATGGTTGCAAGAGCAGTTTAAAGAATTTCTGGATGCCCTTCCTTCAGGTTCCCCAAATGTCGGCAGCTGCCCATGTTTCTTTTGCTCAGGCTTTCTCTTTCTGCTAATACTTTTGTATGCTTTCTCCTTTGCCAAAATACATTTCCTATATTTTTTCTGAAAACAGCATTTTTACTGGAAAGAAAGGTAGTTACAATGCCACTAATATAATAATATAAAATGTATAATTTTAATATTTGTTATATTACTATAAGCACTAAGTATCAAAACAATGCAAGGTTATTGAAGTCAGGAAAGTGATACTGAAATAATGCAGTTTTGTTATCTATAGATTTCATGGAACTTTTGTTAGCTATTCTGATAAAAGCAAAGCAAAACCAAATCAAACCAAACCAAACCAAGACTAAAACAAAACCCCATAACCAACCAAAAACCCCTCAGTGGCAGAGTGCTTGACCAGCATGCATGAGGTCCTAGATTCAATCCCTGGGAAGGGCAGGGGAGTAGGTAAGAGAGTTGGGGGTGGGGTGGGGAGGGAAACTCCAAACAACCATCTCAGCAAGATCCTGAGTTTTGTTAGTTATCTCTCCTTCATCTTCTGAAATTCGGAACAGTTTCTGAGTCTTTCTTTACATTTCAAAGTGTGGATCTTTAGAGGAGACTGGAAAATTATTTTGTACAGTGCCCTCCACGCCATTGACTCTGCTCATCAGATTAGATTCAGCTTGTTCACTTAGTAGAGATTTTGCAGATGTGGCATTGAGTTCTTCTTAGCCACCGTGTCAGAGACATGTGCTGCCCACTGCCTCTTTTTCTGGCCGTATTTACTTTGGTTAGGTGTTTGCCAGGTTTCTCGCTGTAAAGTGACTACCCTTTTTATTAACAGTGTCTTGTTGAGACATCTTGGTGATGGCATAATTATTCAGTTACTTGCCCAACTTTACTCATTAGCTTAGCAGCCATTCATAATTATTACCTGAATCATTAAGATACTTGGCAAATAGTGGGGTTTTTTTTTTTTTGGTCTTTTTGAGACAGGGTCTCACTGTAGCCCCAGCTGTTCTGGAGCTCTCTATGTAGACCAGGCTGGCCTTGAACTCACAGAGATCCGCCCGCCTCTGCCTCCCAAGTGCTGGGATTAAAGGCGTGCACCACCACGCCCGACGTGATTTCTTAATTTTATTATTCCTCTACATTTATTACTTAGATTTCTACTTATAACAAGTTTTCTTGGTCAATTGATCATCTATGTATGTATGTATGTATGTATATATGTATGTATCATCTATCTATCTATCTATCTATCTATCTATCTATCATCTATCTATCATCTATCTATCTATCATCTCTATCCATCCATCCGTCATTCTTTCTTCTCTACCATCTATCTATCTATCTATCTATCTATCTATCTATCTATCTATCTAATCTATCATCTGTGTAGTCAATCATCCATTCATCCATCCTTCTATCCACCCATCAACCATGAACTTTTATATAGGTTTATTATCTTTTACTAATGGTATTTATTCAGATGTTGCAGTTGTCTTAGGCTTGGCCACTTCTGGTCCCTTAAATTGACTTGTGGGTTCTTCTGATGTACCAGCATTGTTCTTTGAGACCTCCCTTATGTGTGTATATAATTTTGAGATAACAAGATGTTACTTCTTGAGTATAATTATTTTTGCTATCAGGAAAGTTTCCATTCTTTGGTTTTGTAGTCAGCCAAACATGTTCACGTTTTTATAGACAATAAAATGTATTTACTTTATATGAAAAAGTCCTTGTACATGAAAAGTATTAAACATCACTTTTTCATAACTATGAAAGAAATGCTCAATGTATTTAAGCATGGTGCAAGTATTTAGGACATAGGACACGACACAGTGACATGTAGAAGCCAGGTAAAATCATCTCTAAACCTTACTACTCTAAAACAACCACTGTTAAAATTTACTTCCCAGTATTTAAAGTAGAAATTTGAAATAAAATAAATGACAATGACACAATCCATAATATTTCATTGGTATAATAGTCCTTTTCTAAGGAGTTGACTGCAGTGAGTGTTTTGTTATAATCAGACACGGCTTCTCTCTCACAGGTGAAAGATGTCATGAAGGACGTCATGTCAGACCTGCAACAGACGAACAGTGAGAAGATCCTGCTGAGCTGGGTACGTCAGACCACCAGGCCCTACAGCCAAGTCAATGTCCTCAACTTCACCACCAGCTGGACTGATGGACTCGCCTTCAATGCTGTGCTCCACCGACACAAGTGAGATACTCTTTACCCCAACAAGCCTGTAGCCCCTCTGTCCTTCTTTGCATCTCTTTCCCAAAGCACCCCCCACCCCAGCTCTTGTTCTATAAAATGTTAAGGCCCACAGCATTACTGGAAAGCCACCACCCCATATTTCTTTAAGACTTCAGTGCCACAGCTCAGCATCTATGACTTCTACACATTTAGAAAGTAAAAAAACGTAAGATAATTCACATAGTTCATTCCCACTCATTTAGCCCTAGCTAGTATGTGTACAAAGACTCGTGTGTAGATTTTATTCTTAGAGCAGAAATAAAATTCTATATATTCACTGTTACTGCAGTTACAAAGAATGACATGATTTTCTCACCAAGCCTTGTAAACAAGAATCCAAATTGTATATAAAAGACCAAAGGCCCATGAATAGCCAGTCCACCCTGGAAGAAGCCTCAGGTGGAAATAACTTTCTATAACACAGCCAAAACTATAAAACTCTATGATTCAAGTATGTGATGCTGTAAAATACAGCAGGCTATTAATAGGTTGCACCATATGAAATTGTCAAAATTTGATTGTGCTCGATGTATAGGAATGATACTTTCAGGGGCTAAAGAAATGGCTCAGAGGTTAAGAGCACTGTTTACTCTTACAGAGGACCTGGGTTTGATTCCCAGCACTCACATGGCAGTTAATATGGTTCCAGGGGATCCAACATCTTCTTCTGACCTCCGTAGGCATTGCATGACATGGGTACACTTATGCACATCCAGGCAATACACTCATACACATAAAATAAAAATAATAAATAAAATAAAAAATGACACTTTCATATGGTTCATCCTTGATGAAAGCAGAGCTGAGGCCTAGCTCTGTTATACAGGCAAAAAACCAGCTCAGCCGATATTGTAGATTAGTGGGTGCAATGGGACAGTTACTAATAACGTGTGAATAAGTGCATTAGGTCCTTGCTATGCCGTGCCCCAGAATGAATTCTGCATGGATCAAGGAGTCAATGCCAGAGGCAGAAATTATGATGTTTTATTGCTATTATGAATTAGTAATTTTCTTATCTAATTTCTTGCATGTTTTTAGCTGACATATAAAAATGAAATGCCTTTCTATAATTTTCTATACTTACTCAATTCTTCTAAATTTTAATAAGTTTTTCTCTGTATACTGTGGGTTGGGGTTTCTTTGTTTCTTATTTGTTTTTGCTGATGGGGGTGTTGGGTAGTAAGATATTCTTGGCTAATATCCTTAAATTATGATATCCTCTCTCCCCTTCCCTCCTCTTTTCTCCTTTACATTTTTATTTATTTATTTATTTATTTACTTTTATTTTATATGTATGAGTATATTGCCTGCATGTCTATAAGTGCACCTGTCATGAAATACTCACAGAGGCCAGAGAGGGTGTCGGATCCTCTAAAACTGGAGTTACAGTAGGTAGTTAAATGCTATGTAACTGCTGGGAACCAAACCTGGGTCCTCTGCAAGAATAATAATTGCTCTTAACTGTTGAGCCCAAATGCTCTTAATCTCTCCAGCGCTAATTTGTTTTTATTCTTCATTGGATCTGTCTTTCATATACTATTGGTCTGAATTAGTAATAGTGCGAAGAATATTTTTTTCCTTGATAACAAAGGAAGTGCTTTTAATATTTTACCGTAAGACTGATGTTTTCTATACCTTTAAAAACTATTCTGTACTTGTTATAAGGTTGAAGAACCTTTCCTTCACAATCTCCTCCCACTCTACTTACATCAGCTTAAGGGTGCTGCCCTGTGCTTCTTGCTGCCTGAGAGATTTTGTTATGAAACTTTGTTTTAACTGATACCTGTTCCATTTATTAAGTAATTCATCCAGCATGTATATATGTAGAGTGCCTTCTTTATACTAGATCTGGAGAACAAAATAAGGAAACATTCTAGGCATGGTGACCAGTACTATTAGTCTCAGGACTTGAGGGGCAGAAGCAAGCAGATCTCAGTGAATTCAAGGCTAGCCTAGTCTACATAACCAGTTGTAGGCCAGCAAGGGCTACATAGTGAGGCTCTGTCGCAGAAAACAAACAAACAAACAAACAAACAAACAAACAAACAAACCATCCATCCTGGTTTCTTCCAACCAGAGACAGACAATAAACAAAATAAAAATGCAAACTGTAGTTGGACATGTCTGCAGTCTTGTGATCTCAGCACTTAGAAGGCATAAGGATCAGGAATCAGTGTCTATATAGCTATTTTGAGGCCAGCCTAGGTTACACAAAGAGGATTCTGCTCACAAACAAGGAAATAAAACTGTAAATTGTATATTTAAATGGTAAACTTGGTAAAGAGAAATACAATAGGCAAGAAGGAAAGAGGCAGATGGCATGTGTGAGGCCTGTGGCTACAGTGGCCTGAGTGATGGAACAGGGCTCTGGGAGCTATGGTAGAAAGTGGGGTGGGACAGGCCAATCCCAGGGTGTGTCCAAGGTACAAGAACAGAGTACAAAGAAAACCAGCAGCCTTGGGATATGTCAAGGCAGTGATAATTTCTGGCTTGGGAGACTTAAAGAAAAATAAGATATAAATGAAATACTAGGAAACTGTAACCTAGAGGATGGTTAGAGACAAACAACCCCTTTCAGTCTTTTGCTTTGGGATAAACAATGGAGAGGTTAGAGCTTAACCTTAGTCTTTGGGGTTAGAGGCATTGAGTCAGGGCCTCATTGTGCAGTCCAGGGTAGTCTGAAACTTGTTGAGTAGATGAGGCTGGCCTCCACTTTGTGATCCTCTTGCCTTGGCCTCCTGAGAACTGGGATTACAGGTATGTATCTTCGTGTCCTGCACTTTGGGCTTTTAGTTAGAGGATTCAGTCCATTAAAATTGACTGTGATAATTGATATATTTAGGTTCTTTTTTTTTTTTTTTTTTTTTGCCACTTGGCTTGAGCTTATTTCTTTACTGCTTCTGTGTCTTTTTCCTTTTCTGTCTTCTTTGTTTTGATGTTTCTTTAACCACATATTTCACTACTTGTGAAATAATATATACTCAGATCTTACCAGAATGTGTTGTCTATTATTTCTATGTTTGTTAATTACTTGTAATTTGATGTTTCTGACAAATCCTTGGGCTATAAAATTTAATTTAACAATAGTCACAATGAAAGTCTCCACATCTGAGCTGCAGTGGATGGTAGCAGTGCTTTTTTGCATGATGTTTTGCCTTTGCTGAATTTTATTTGTGTGCTGATTTCAGACCCGATCTCTTCAGCTGGGACAGAGTGGTCAGCATGTCCCCCATTGAGAGACTTGAACATGCTTTTAGCAAGGCCCAGACACATTTGGGAATTGAAAAGCTGTTAGATCCTGAAGGTAATGTTCAATATTCACTTTTGAATTTGATTTTGCTTTACAGTTTTGAACTCTTGAGAGGCACTATTGTTTTTCTTTATAGAGTCAATTCTGACAATTAGGTATTAATCATTTTGTTATATGTATGTATGTATGTTTGTATGTATGTATCTATGTATCTATGTGTGTATTTTTATATCTTGTGTAGTGTGGGTGTTGTGAATGTGTGGTATATGCATGGATATACACATATATGTATGCAACCATGTATGTGCATGTGTGCATGTGTGTGTGCTCGTATACATGTCTGCTGAGGCCAGAGAAGGACATCAGTTGTCTTCCTAAATCACTTTCTATCTTAGACAGGGTCTGTAAACCTGAAGGTTGCTGGTCTGGCTAGTCTGACTGGCCAGTGTTTTTCTCTAAGTTCAGTTTAAAAAAAAATTTGGATTTATTTTTATTATTTTATGTGTATGAGTGTTAGGCCTACATGTATGTAAGCGCACCCATGTGATGCAATGCCTGTGGAAGACAAAAGGGGGCATCAGATTCCCTGGAACTAGAGTTATGGATGGTTGTTAGTTGCCATGTAGATGCTGGGATTTGAATCCAGGTCCTCTCAAGAGTAGTCAGTGCTCATAACTGCTGAACCATCTCTCCAGCCCCAAAGTTCAGTTTTTTAAAAATATCATATCTATATATGAGTGTTTGGCCTGCCCAGTATCCACCTGTTTCTGTCTTCCATAAGCCATTTTACTGTAGGTAAATTATTATTGATTTGTACTTAACAGTGTGCACGATCTTTTAGGCAGAAAGTAAATTATTTCATTAGATAATATTTAATTTGTATCAAGTAAGATTTAAAAATTTTATGAAAATATATTTATTAGATGAAGAATTTAATATTGGGTTTAGTTATTAAATTGCATTTATGTGGACTGTGAAGATGGTTCAATTGTTGAGAGCACTGACTGCTCTTGCAGAGGACCTGGGTTTGGTTTTCAGCACCCACATGGGGGCTAACAACCATCTAACTCCAGTTCCAGGGGATTTGATGTCCTCTTTGGGCTCCATGGGAATTGTATGACACAGGTGCTTTTACATATATGCAGGCAAAGTACTCATGCACATAAAATAAATAAAAATAAATTGCACTTATGTGTGAGCCTCTGCATATGGCATGACGACTTTAGTTACAAATACAGTGTTGTAATTAACTTATTTCTGTAGTACAAATGAAGTCTGTGTTATTATTGTATATGGTAAAATTGGTAGCCTGTCTTTGAGGATTTTGGGCATTTTAAAATTTTCTTCCAGAAGGAAAAGTCTTGCTGTGTAGCCCAGGCAGGTCTCAAACTAGATCCTCCTGCTTCAGCCTCTTGCTGGCATGGCAGGTTTGTGCCACCATGCCTGGCTCATGGACTTGCTAAGAGATGGCTGCTGAATAGGAAAAGTAATCTTTCTTGGTTTTTGTCTCATATTTTATGATTTGAATTAGCAATTACTGAGACACAATTCCACAAAGAGAATAAATGAGGTATTGTCTCTGCATACTAAGCAGAGCTCCCTTATAATACCCAATACTAAGCAATACACATAGTTTGGACACCTAATTTAAGCTGGTTCTTTCTTTCTTCCACTTTCAGATGTGGCTGTGCAGCTCCCTGACAAGAAATCCATAATTATGTATTTAACATCTTTGTTTGAGGTGCTTCCTCAACAAGTCACCATAGATGCCATCCGAGAGGTAGAGACGCTCCCAAGGAAATACAAGAAAGAGTGTGAGGAGGATGCCCTTAACATACAGGTACCAGTACATTTTCCTTGCAGTGTTTGACTTGCCCCATTTGTTTAGTCATAGATACCAGATAATACTTGCACAGGGTTTGTTTCTTTCCCAGAGAAACATCTTGTTTTTTTCTAAGTTCAGTTTATTTATTTATTTTTATTTATATATTTGAGTGTTTTGCCTGCATGTATATAATTACATCAGTGTGTGCAATGCCTATGGAGGCCAGAAGAGGGCAACAAATTCCCTGGAACTGGAGTTATGAACTATTGTTAGCTACCATGTGGATGCTGGGAACTGAACCCAGGTCCTCTGAAAGAGCAATCAATGCTTTTACCTGCTGAGTCATCTCCCCAGCCTCTATCTATCTATCTATCTATCTATCTATCTATCTATCTATCTATCTATCTGTCTGTCTGTCTGTCTGTCTGTCTGTCTGTCTGTCTGTCTATCTATCTATCTTCTATCTATCTATCTACCTATCTATCATCTATCATCTATCTATCTATCGTCTGTCTGCATACTTTTTTTTTTTTTAAAGACAGGTTCTTTCCTGTAGCCCCCAACTGGTCTTCAGCTCACTATGTAGACCAGACTAGCATTGATCTCATAGAGATCCATCTGCCTCTGCCTCCATAGTGCTGGGATTAATGGTGTGTGCCACTATACTGGGCCAAGCATGGCTTTTACGTGGGTTCTGGGATCCAAACTCTGTTCCTCATTCTTGCACACCAAGTAGTTTACTGACTGAGCCATCTTCCAGCTCCTTTGTGTGCCTCTGAGCTTAATTGCTGAAATGTTAGACCATGTGACTTATAAGATATGATCCAAGAGTCTTCATTTTATGAATTAAGATTAGACAAAAACATAGAGATAAAATGTGGATCAAATCAAGGCAGGATAATGGAGGAAGAAAAAACATCCATTATTCATGTCTTTTTTTTTTTTTTTTTAAATAAAAAGCTCATTAATACTATAATAAAAAAAAACATGTGTAAGCCCATTCTTGAAAAATCTGACGAGCAGCTCAGGGTATATTCTTTCTCTTAAAGGAATGGGAAAGTAAGCCCTATATTTTGAGAGCCCACATAAGAATAAAATGAGAAAATTTCTTTATTGGTGGCCCCAAAGAGAAAGAAACTCTTAGTAAAGGGAAACTAGGATGACTTGAGGAAAAGAATTTCCCACCCGTGATAACAGTGACACAGCCACCTGACAGGAAAGCACAGCTTCTAAGTATGGCACATGGCACCATGACCAATAGCCTTAGACCCCAACTTCAGCTCCCAGTGTGAAACAATGTGCTTTCCTTCCCTAATAAATTTGGGTGAGTTATGGTTTCCTATTGCATGCCTGTAACAGCATGCTAACTAAAAAAACTGAACTTGGGCTGGTCCATAGCTCCAGTTCCAGGGGATCTGATGCCCCCTTCTGGCCTCCATGGGCATTGCACACAAGGGTACACTTAAATACCTGCAGGTAAATTACTCATATTCATTAAAAAAAGAAGAAAAAAAGCTAGGCTTAGCAGTGTCCCTGCAATCCAGTTGCTGTAAAGCAGGCAGATTACTGGAGCTCCTTGGCTAGCTAGCATAGCCAAATCAGTGAGCCCTGGGTTCAGTGGGAGACCCTGTTTCCACTAGATAAGGTGGAGACCAATTGAGCAAAACACCTGATATCAAGCCTTCATATGCATACTTATGTTCGAGACAGAGATTCATTTGTATTGAAAAATTTTAAGAAGTGCATTTTGGAGGGGCAGAATGCATGTGTCCATGAGCTTGAAGTTCATCCTGTTGTTACTTATCTGGGGTCATGACTTTGCTTCTCTCCCTGAGGTGGATATATCCACTCCCTTGATAAAGATAACACATTGAGTGGTTCCAAAACGATATTAACAAGCACTCAGCAGGTACCAGCTATATTATTATAATTTCCCTCTCAATTTGTTTTGACACTCTCATTTAGCAAGTTCCTTTAAAAAAAAGTTACTTAATTTTCAAATTATGATAATAATCTTGAATTGAACATAGTATCCTCCTCCACCCTGAAATTTAGAGAATTTACTTATCATTTTAGATTTTGGATGGCATGTACCAATCATTTTATTTTTATCGATTTCAAAGGTAGAATGATTTTTAGAAGAAGAAAAATAACTTACTGAGGAGAAAAAAGTGAGAGATGGGGCTTGGTTGTGGACCCAGGGTTCTTTTTACTTTTTAACATCAAATGATATTGTGGAAAGCCCTTGCCTTCTCCGTATTGGGTGCCTTTGCCTTTGATAGTGTGGACATTGTTGGGCATTAATGATACACCTTATTGTTTGGCTTAGATAATGTTCTGGCCTCATCTCTTGGTTTTAGAGTCATTTCTTCATTGGACTGATTTCTTTTGGTTAGATAGAGTATTTCAATTCCTAGTATTAAGGCCATTCTCTCATAAAAATACAGGGTTGGCATGATGACTCAGCAGTCACAAGTGCTTGTGAAGCCTGTCAACCTGGGTTTGATCCCTGTAACCCATGTAAAGGAAGAAGGAAAGAACCAACTCCTCAGTTATCCACTGACCTCCACTCATGTGCCTGTCCCTGGCATAATAATAAATCAAAAAACAATTTAAAAAGGAAGAGGACGTTGTTGGCTATTATGGTATTTAGATGAAATAATCATTTCTGTTAGGGTTCACAGTGGCATAATAAAAGTCGCCAAAACCATTTTCCATTAAACCTCTTCATATGCTTGCTTTTATGGGTAACTTAGAGGTTGAATTACATTGAGGATATAAAATGTGACCAAGTTTTAATCATCCTCCCTTGGACTATTTTTCCGTCTGTTTCTCTCTAACGAATGCTTATAGCTAGCTTCCTTTCCTGTCTACAACATGCTGAATAATGTTGATTAGCGGGTAGTTCCTACATTTCTCTTTAGACACATGCCAGTTGGAAGTCTCCTCACATTTTTAAATTAGTGCTTACTGAACATTTGCATGTGGATCCTGCCTTCCATCTTTCCATCATGGAAGCTGGTGGCTGTCCAGGTAACCTTTGGCTGATTACTAACATTCCTAGTGTTCTAGTTAATTTTTGTTGCTGTGATAAAACACTGACCAAAAACAACTTGGTGAGGAAAGGACTTATTTCATCTTACACTTTCAAGGTACAGTCCATCTTTAGGGAAATCAGGCAGGAACTCAAGGCAGGAACTTGGAGGCAGGAACTAAAGCAGGGACAATGGAGGAACACTGCTTACTGGCTTGCTTCCTCTGGCTTGCTAAACTACTTTTCTTATATAGGCCAGACCCACCTGCCCAGAGATGACACCATCCACAGTGCTCTGGGCCCTCCTATATCAGTTAACAGGAAAATGCCTCATAGACATGCTCACGGGCAGTCTGATGGAGGAAGTTTCTCAGTTGAGGTTCCTCTTCCCAGGTATCTCCAGTTTGTTCCAAGTTGAGAAAAACTAACTGGCACATCTAGTTTTTAGATATTCTTATAATTCTTTAGAAGTTTGGTCCTAAATCATCTTCAAAGTTGTCTTAGGTATACACTTAGGATTTTGGGTTGAGAACTTAGCACATTTTCGTCTCTGTCTTGGCACATCTGCCTGTTAACTATCCAGAATTTTGGCTTTGTGCTGACTGGTTCATTTAACTTCTGTAATTCAGTTTAGCAGATTCATTTGAGTCCTCCTCCAAATCATCTTTTGTGGGCTCCCTACCCCAAGGTTTTATGTTAGTTTAATACTTATGTTATAGGTTGTAAGACTCAAATGTTCATACTGTAATTACAGTGGGCTTTCTCTTCTTCCCTGATTCTTACATATGTTGACTTCCTCTGCCCAGTTTTCCTCCATTTACCTCTTAAGAGAAGTGCTCTTTCATTAACCTATTAAAACCCAACCCCATACCCTCACACTGTCTTTCTCTGGTTCTTACAAGCACAGTATTTCTGTGAACTGTGTTAAGAATTTTAAATTGTGACTTAAGAGCATTGAGAAAGCAGTGGATGATTTCAGGCAGGGAATCCTGATGGTATGGGCACATGTAGGTCATTCTTGTTGGGGTCTGAAAAATGGATTGGGAGTTAGGACTGCAGGGACAAACATTAGCAAGCCCTTATAGTCCAGAGGAGAGACATAGTTGATTATAGAGATGGAAAGGTATGGATGGATTTGAGTTAAAATTTCAACATAGGACAAACTTGTAGGTTAAATATGGGGAATGAAACAAAGAAAGAAAGAAATAGAAGAAACCAAGTTTGTCACCCATGTTTCTAGCTGGAGTACTTAAGTAGGTAGAATCTGAGGGAGAGCAATTTTGGGGTAAAACAATAGAGTGTTTAAATGTGGACATGGTTTGATATGTGTATGAGATATGGGAGATGTTAGAGCTGTTAGATACAGAACTTTGGAGTTCAGAGGAGAGTTTTAGAGCAGAGATAGAAAAGATGAGATGTCAACAGGAGATAGATGATTCTTTAAGTCCAATGGAAATAGATATTACTCAGTCAAAATATATAAAGAAAGGAGAAGAGAAAAAAAATGAAAAAGAAACCTGGTGACCTAATTTTGAGAAGATTCATTACTTGGAGATTGGTGGCCATTGAAGTTGGAGGATACCAATGTGGTGTTATGATGCAGGGAAGGAGAGCTTGTAGAAGGCTGAGTGGTTAGCTTCATGGAAAGCCACTGGTAGTTTAAGGAAGCACCGTGTGATGGCTGGGTCTTCTTGCTGCTAGTTTATGTGTATTCTTGCATAGTTATGACAAGCATTCTAGTGGATTGGGTAACTAGGTGAGTCTGGAAGAATGGATTTTTCACCTTTTCACTTGAGTTATGAAACTCTAGCTGTTACATATGTGAGGATAGAATGTTCCTTTTCATTTATGAAACTGAGGAATAATTGTTTTTATTTTATGTACATGAGTGTTCTGCCTGTATGTATGTAAGTACACCAAATGGGTACAGTGCTGGTGGAGGCTTGAAGAAGGCTTAAGAGGCCCTGGAATGGGAGTTACCGATGGTTATTATCTACCATGTGGGTCCTGGGAATTGAACCTGGGTCCTCTGCAAGAATTCCAAGTGCTCTTAACCACTGAGCCATCTCTCCAGCCCCACTTGTGAAATAGTCTATTTAAAAATGGTGGATGAGGGGCTGAGGACATGGCTCAGCTGTTAAGAACATTGATTGCTCTTGCCGAGGACCCTGGTTTAATTCCCTGGACCCACACAGCAGCTAACAACCGTTGATAACTCTATTTCTAAGGTATCCAACACCCTCTTCTGACTTCCTTGGGCATTGCATGACATGGGTACATTTACATATGCAGACAGTACACTCATACACATAAAATAAAAATAATAAAATAAAATATTTTAAATTGCAAAAACTGTGGATGAGCCTTCAAAGTGGAAGTAGTCTGTATACAAGTTTTAAAGAAGTTCTGTTGTGCTCTTGTTTCCTGTGCCTGCTGGAAGATGTAGCGCTTAGCTTCCACTGCTCCTCTTCCAGCCACCTCTGCCACCATGCCTCCCTGCCAAGATGGACTCTAATTCTCCTGGGACCCCTGGAAATTACTCTTTTCTCTGAAAAGCGTGGGCAACAGGCCAGCGGGGAGTGCTCTGGGAAGAGCGGTGGAGCCCAGCCAGTGAGAGATGGAGAGTTAGCATGTCGATGAGATAGGAAGAGAAAAGGAAGTGTGTGGCCCTGGGGGCAAATGGCAGAGGTGTCCTGTAGGGAGTGGAAGTGAGATGGGGCACTCACAGACCATGGGTGTGAAACCCATTTGAAAGATACCTGAAGAAATAAAGGCCAGCTATAGCTCAGGGGAAACACTGCTGGGATAGATCAGTGGCCACGTTTTGAAGACAAATGATGGGAAGGCCCAAGAGATCACTATCTTGCCATGATACAAGAGAGATCGCCCTGCATCTTCATCCCCTCCAAGGCTCAGGGAAATTTGTGGAACAAATGGCGGAAAGTTTGTAAGAGCTGGAGGAAAAGGGTGGAGTGTAGCCTGGAAATTACTCATTCCTCTGAAAAGTGTGGGTGGTGGGTGAGTGCGGGCACCCTGGGAAGAGGGGTGGAGCCCAGCCACAGAGAGATGGAGAGTTAGCATGGCCTTGAGATTGGCAGGGAAAAGGAAGTTTGTGGCCCAGGGGTGAGCGGTGGCAGAGGCATCCTGAGGGGCATGGAAGCCAGATGGGGCACTCACAGACTGTGGGTGGGGCTTGAATGAGGGTGTGAGTTATGAATAAAACCATCTTTTTGTAAGTTGCTCCCTCCCTGTCATATAAACCATGTGAGCCCCCCCCCCCAAAAAAAAAGAAGTTCTGCTGTGAATGGGCACGGAAGAACAAATGAGGCAGTACGTTTGATTATAAGATCATAAAATATGTAAAGAGAAACTCCATTACTTAGAACTTGAGAGAAATTTATTCTATGAGTCTTCAAATAAAAAGACTAGCATATAAGCCAGAAAGCTGTTGCCTTAAGAAATGAAACACAAACCCCAGTCAGTACCATGGCTTGTCACATGTGGCTGTTATTCAGCCTTTATAATACAGTACTAAAATGCTGAGTAGCACAAGTATTTGAATCAAGGGTCAAAGCAGAGATTCAGCCTCTCTCTGTAAATTGCAGCCATTGTTCAAGGCCCAACATGTTTTCTTCCCTCCATGAAGCTTCCCTATTTCCACCCATGGTGAACTCAAATAGCAAGCCTCCGTGAGACTGGCATTTAGAATGTTGCAGAGAGCCATTTATTTTTGTTCAGCAATGATTCATGTGGGATATTTTTCACTCCCCAACTGTATTAGAATCTTCATGAATGCAGAACTCGTGCATGAACTCTGCTTTTGTATTTCTTGTTGTCCTAGTGCACAAAATAAGTGCTTTCTGACCAACTTGCAGTGCTTCTTGCTCAACTCCTGAGAACTGGATTGATTCCTGACACACAGCAGTACCTGCCTTCGTGTCTCCATACAGTGTGGCCTTGTTGAGCACCTGTGTCTTCATGACCATTGTGGGTTTTTCTTGGTTTTGTTTCCATAGAGTGCTGAGTTAGTAGAAGAGCATCGCAGTCCCCGAGCTGAGACCCCCAGTACCATCACTGATGGCAACACGGATCTGGACAGCTACCAGGTAGCATTGGAAGAAGTGCTCACCTGGCTGTTGTCTGCTGAGGACACCTTCCAGGAGCAAGATGACATTTCTGATGACGTTGAAGAAGTCAAAGACCAGTTTGCCACCCATGAAGTAAGTGTCTATAATTGATGAACCAGATCTGTTTGGGGCCTGTGCCTTATTTTAGGAGAGGAGAGGACTTAATGTGATGCTTGTTGTTTACTGAATTCTGCTCTATGAAAAGGTCATGGTATATTTTAGGCCTGGTACTATTTAAATAGATCTTTGTTAGAAAGCTGGAGTGGGTGATCAACTGTGCACCAGAATCAGATTCCAGACTTTAATCTTGGAGTAACTTGTATGTTTTATAGGGCTGTTGATAGAAATCAGTGTGTAAAAATGTTCCTTTTGAACTGTATAGTTGTAGTTAAAATGAAAATGAATAGGGCTGCAGCGACGGTTCAATGGTTAAGAGCAAGCTCTTGCAGAGGTCTGGGGTTCAGTTCTCACTCCCCATGTGGCAGCTAACAACTGTCCATAACCACCTATAACTCCAGTTCCAGGTGAGCTGATGCCTCCCCTGGCCTCCAGGGTTATTGCATGACACGGGTACACTTACATACATGCAGGCAAAACACTCATACACATAAAATAAATATAAATAAATTAATTTAAAAAATTAAAAACATAAAAATGACCAATCAACACCCTGAATCCTTAGGTTCCCAGTGCTCCCCTAAAAGTGGTTATTGTTATTTGTAGTATGATTAAGCCCAGGTCATACCAGCTTCGCTGCACAATTTCATACAAGGAGACTGTCTTACTATTCAGAAATGTCTGTCAGTGTTGTGATTTTGACTATGTGGAAATTTTGTCTTGGTTGAGCAGTTTCCTTAGATGTGTAGATATGATCTTCCTTGGCAGTTTGGATTGAAAGGAATAGAACTGTAATAATCCATAGCAGTTCTTCTGGCATGAATGCTGCATTATTATTTTTATTATATTTACTCATAATTCTTCTTTCATGATACACTAGCCGCATAGTTTGGCATTTACTTTAAAATCAAGCATTGGGTCAGTGAAATAGCTCAGAGGGTAAAGGTGCTTGCTGGGGATCCACGTGGTGGAAGGAGAGAACCAACTCTCACAAGTTGTCCTCCAACCTGTACATGTTTGTCTTGGCATGAGTGTATGCATATGCATGTATGCATGAACATACACAAATAAATAAAATGTAATACATTTTTTAAAAAAACAAGCATTATCAACTATAACATTAATCTCTATTTCTTTTTTGAGTTACACTAGGCATTCCCCATTTTCAGAGTTTAAAACATCACATCACATTCTACCTTATCCATACTCTTTGCTAGGCTTCTTTTTCTGTGACATTGATATGGAAGTTATGCACTAGCAATTTACTAAGATTTTTTTTTTTTGCAACGAGAGACTCACAAGTCACCACCATGTCCCTTGCTAGACTTTCATGATGGAGCTGACGGCACATCAGAGCAGTGTGGGGAACGTCCTGCAGGCCGGCAACCAGCTGATGACACAGGGCACTCTGTCTGATGAGGAGGAGTTTGAGATTCAGGAACAGATGACACTGCTCAATGCGAGGTGGGAGGCACTCAGAGTAGAGAGCATGGAGAGGCAATCTCGGTGAGTGCAACCCAAGAAACAAGGCCTTTACTCCACACACCACATGGCACAGAACACGTCTTTGGGTCTGTGAACAAGATCAGTATAGAATGAGCCTTGTGATATTCTGACTCTTTTCTGTGGGACATGTTGCTAGAATTTCTCAAGAGTTATGTTAGTCAAGACAAACTGCTCAAGTTGGAATATGGATGCTGGTGAGACGGGAAAAGACATTCTACGTGGATGGATTCCTAGTTTCATTTTTGCTTCTGTGATAAAATTCCCTGATGAGAAAACAACTTAGGGGAGAAAATAAATAAATGCATGCTTAGGACTCAGTTAATGCTCTCTACTCTTATACAGTCCCTAGCCCAACATTATGGAATACTGCTTTCCACTTTCAGGCTGGGACTTTTCATATCAGTTAAGGCAATCAAGACAATCCCCGACAGACATGCCCACAAACCAACGTGATCTAGACAGTCTCATTGTTAAGTTGATAATTCAAACTAACCATCACATATGGTTATCTATTTGCAGTGCTATGAAAATTAGTAACAAGATGAAAAGAGGATAGTGTGACCTAGATGTCCCATTCAGTGCTCCCTAATATTTTTAAAGCAACATTATCCCACAGTCCATTTCATTTCACATTGTATTCTATATACTATTGCCATTTCCACCAATCTCAGAAGCAGGACTTCCTGAGTAAAGAAGCCGTGATCTGGTTTGAAAACAGAGAGCTGCTGTTTGCATTCTTCAGCTGCATTTAGAATAGAATAAAAAGATTTCCCCTTTGCTCCTATACCTAACTTGAATGGTTAGGTTAGCAAGGGTGTGCTCCCTCACTCCTTCTCTGGTGCTTGGAGTGGATACTTGTGCAAGGGAGCTCCTGATGGGAACGATGCTCTATCCCCCCTGCCAGGCTGCACGATGTGCTGATGGAACTGCAGAAGCAGCAGCTGCAGCAGCTCTCAGGTTGGCTAACCCTCACGGAGGAACGCATTCAGAAGATGGAAACCTGCCCACTGGGTGAAGACCTGCCAGCCCTGCAGAAGCTGCTCGAAGAACATAAAGTAAATTTGCCCCTCGTTTCTTTTCTCCCTCATCAAGTGTGAAGGTAGTACTAGGCCTTCTTGGGGGCTGATGGCTTCTGTCAGTGTGGAGCTGGGACATGTCTTCATGTTGTCTTTTTTTTGGCAGCGTGTAGGGTGGAGTTTGGGGGAAGGTGACGTTTTTGAGCCGAGGATGAAATGAACAGCCATACACAAGCCTGTATGGCTTTCTTATGAAAGCGCGTGGCTGAGGTGCTAGGGATGGCTCAGCAGTTAAGAGCAGCCGGGTTCCATTCCCATCATCCTCATCGTGCCTCACAACCATCTGTAACTCCAGTTCTAGGGAAGCTGATGTGTTTTTCTGACTTCCATGGCACCAGGCATGCATGTGATGTGCACACATACACAAAGGCAAGCACATACATACAGGAAAAATAAATAATTCTAAAAAGAAAAGAAGTGCATAGATTTTGTAAAATTTGAGAATGCTTTTTAAAAAAAATTATTATTTTTATTTTGCGTGTATGCATGTATTGCCTGCATGTAGGTAAGTGCACCTGTGTCGTGCATTGCCCGTGGAGGTCAGAAGAGGTTGTCAGATCCCTTGGGACTGGAGTTTATGGACAGTTGTTAGCTGCTATGTGGGTGCTGGGATTCAAACTTGGGTCTTCTGCAAGAATGACCAGCATTCTTAACCGCTGAGCAATCTCTCCAGCCCCAGAGAAGGCGTTTTTAAGACCCATAAGAACATAAGAACTGCAGTGTGTGGGCACTCATGCACAGAGTGGAAAAGGCAGTCCAGAGACATAGCTATACCTAGTTCCATTAGGAAAACTTGCCTGGTCTCAGAAAGGCATCAGGCACTGGGTTGAGGAGCCAGAATATGGACAATTTAACTTGGTCCCAGGGTTAGTAGATCAGTTTTTATAGTTGAAGGAAAGATAGAATTAGATATTCCCCCTGTAAATTAAATAATTTTATTGATCAGTAAAGCATCTAGGTAGCTGATAAATAAAGCTTCAGAGATACATTAAATACTATGCAAGAGGTATTATTCTGGGGCTGGAGAGATGGCTCAGTGGTTAAGAGCACTGGCTGCTCTTGCAGAAGACCAGGGTTCTATCCCCAGCACCCACATGGTGGCTACGAACTGTCCTTAACTCCAGTTCCAGAGGAGTCCAACACCCTCTTCTGACCTCTGCGGCATTGCACAACATGGGTGCATTCACATACATGCAGGCAATACACTCATACACATAAAATAACAACAAAAAAAATACTACTCAAGAGGCATTTCTCAACATCCTCAATAGTGTTTAAACAACTGACTCTGCGTATGTCTAATGACTGTTCTTTTCCCATGGAAGGGGTGGGTGAAGGCGTCCGTATGTTCTTAGTTGCTGTCTTGGGGAGCTAATCAGAAGAGCTTCTGTGACTCAGATCGCCTTCCATTCATCTCCTGTTTTATGCCATATTGCACTAGAGAAAATGATCTCCGATTTTGTGTGTTTAAATTCTGGACTTTTGGATTTAGCAAATCTGCATTTTTGTCTTAACTCCTAGTATAGATTCAAGCTTTTCTTTTCTTTTTTTAATTCTATTCTGTTGGGGGCAGAACTTGGACTGAATGTGATGCATTTCATTTGCAATCTGTTATGGCATTGCACTTTTGTAGTGAAATATAAAGGTGTACCACAGGCTTCTTTCATTAGTGCAATGCTTTCGGTGATGATTGCAAATTGAAATACAATGCCTCATTAGGTGTTCTTAATTACTATTGAGAACGGAGTGGACTTTAAATAGGTAAATGGGAAAGAGTAGAAATCAGAATTTATCTTACTTTGTTTCCCCTAGAGTTTGCAAAATGATCTTGAGGCTGAACAAGTGAAGGTAAATTCTTTGACCCACATGGTGGTGATCGTTGATGAAAACAGTGGTGAGAGTGCGACGGCTGTTCTGGAAGACCAGCTACAGGTAAGGACCCTGCAAAGCAGGTGACCCTGGGGGATGTCTGGGCCAAGACCCAACTACCTGCTGCTCCTGTGTTTCATGTTCTGCCCTGTTTAGCTGAAAGGATATTAAAAAGTAGACTCTGTTAATCATCTTTTCGTTTCTATGTGGCTCCTCAGGCTGGCTACTTCATAAAGGAAGTTTATTTAGCTCGCAGTTTTGGAGACTGGAAGTCCACGCAGCCAGACACAGGCTCTTGTGCGGGTCTCCCCTGATTGTATCACAGAGGAACAGAGCATGTGTATGTCTGTGTGGTGTCTCTCTGATTACAAAATGATCAGGATTTAATCCTAGTGGTACCACCTTTGTGGCCTAATTTAATCTTAAAAAAAAAAAAAAAAGAAAAAAAAAGAAAAGAAAACCACAGCAAAAAAACCCAGCATCAAGTTAAGTTTCTACTCTCTTAATACTAGTCACATAGGACTTTGGGCATTGCACTCCTATAAGAACTCAAGGGGGACACACCATGACACCTGCCTTAGATTGTACCTCAGCCTTGGGGCTCCACAGCATATGGGTTATAGGAGTAGCTAGTCGTTGGTTCCTTTATTCCAGCAGTTGGCGTACAGGAGTATGGCTGTTGCCTAGCTGCCTTGTGCATAGAATAACAAGATTTGAAAGCAAAGGAACCCATTACAAGTGGTCCACAGACTTTTCTGTGTGTGTTCACTTGAAGAATTGGTGAAGGTAATTAGAGCCTGAAAAAGCTGAAGTACAGAGAGTGGACCAGTGGATTGGGGGTATAGTGCAGCAATCTAATGCTTGCCTAGCATGTATACATCTCTAAGCAACACTGCAGAAAAAAAAAAGTTAAATTAAAAAGTAGACATGTATACACTAATTTGAAATATATATATAAAAACATTACATTCTTATACAAACCCCACAATGCAGTAGTAAGAACTTGAATTCTAGTTGTTTTTTTCTAAGATCTCAGGAATTTACATATTTAAATTCTATGGAAGTTTGTTTTTTCTTATATATACACTTAGAGGGTTAATTTGTATTATTTTGAAGCATGTTTCATGAAAGTGGTTTTTATAAGTTGGTACTTTGTAATAAAGGACTGCAGAAATTATGACTCGCTTAAAGAATCATGACAACTCTCCTGGATATGCTGACAGAGGCTGGCTTTTCCTTCCCTAGAAACTTGGTGAGCGCTGGACTGCCGTGTGCCGCTGGACAGAAGAACGCTGGAATAGGTTGCAAGAAATCAATATATTGTGGCAGGAATTATTGGAAGAACAGGTATGAAACTGTAGTCTCTCAAGGACAGAACAGAGCGAGTTACCCATCTTTTATTATGACATTGGAATAAGATTACTGTCTTTCCTTTTCTTTGAAGGGAAAAATAAGTGCTTATTTATTTATTTGCTTGCTTATATTTTATTTGACAGGGTCATATATAACCCAAGCTGGCCTCCAACTCACTATGTAGCTGAGGATGACCTCGAACTTCTTATTTTCCTGTCTTCACCCTCTAAGTGCTAGTTTTACAGGCTTTCACCACCGCACCTCATTTGGTGCTGGTGATTCAACCCAGGGCCTTGTTCATGATAGCCAAGCACTCTACCAACTGAGTTACATTCCCAGTCCCTTATTTATTATTTTAAAAGTCAGATTTCTTTCCATGTTATAGCTGGTCATATACCTTAATTCATAAAAATCATGGTATGGGCTCCATGTTAATAATAATTTGATCTCTTCTTAGTATAATGTTAATGCCTAAACCTGCTCCTTTCTTGACTTTTTCACATTAGAATTATTTATAAATTTCCATTGTGTAATCTGCATGAATATGTATCAACACAATTTCTAGCATATAGTTTGTGCTTAGTAAATAATAGATAGAAGAATATCTTGAATATATTGTGAACATTAAATTTTAAGATTTTTCTTGACTTTTAACTAGGATAAGGACTGAAGTCAATGAGATTATTTTTCAGAAATGCCTTTGAATAAACACTTGGTTGCACTGTGCTGCAAAGCTGTGGGCTTAATTTTTTAGCTGATGGCCCTTTGTCTACCTTCCATTCTTCCAGAAAAGTAGCTATCAAAACACAGTGCATAGAAGTAAAAATTTTCTCCCCAAATGCCAAACAGTTGTGGTCTAGAAAATAAGCAGACACTCTGTGCCCACAGTGCCTGTTTTGATTCTTTTAAATGCATTTCACTTCCATCCACTAAAAGCAACTCCAGTCTCTGCTAGTGATTAGGAACCATGTGGACAGGATGTTTTGTGGCTTACCAAACAGAGTGGCAGGTAGTGTACCTTAAATGGTAGGTTGCAGAATTTGTCTAAATCTAAGTGATTAGTTAGTACTGCTCTTCCTAAAAAAAAAAAAAAAAAACCAAAAACAAAAAATCCAAAAAAGAATACCAAAAGCAAACAAACAAACAAAAATCTCTACACATAATAAGGGATAGAGAGATGGCTCCGTGGTTAAGAATGTTCGTTGCTCTTGCAGGCGACCTGGGTTCAGTTCTCAGCACTCAAATGGCTCACAACTGCCTGGAACTCCAGTTCAAGGGGATCCAACACCTCTTGCCTCCTCAGGCACTTCACACATATGGTGCACGTGGGGACACATACACATACACACACACACACACACAACACGTACACGCGCGCACACACACACGCACGCACACACACACGCACGCACACACACACAAATAATAAAAAAAATAAAAGTAAAGAGTCAGGTAATGGTCTGGGAATGGGGCTCAGTTTGTAGTATGATTGCCTAGCATATTTGAAGCCTTGTTTTAGGTCCCCAGTATAACATAAACTGGAGGTGAAATTGAACACTTGTCCTCCCAGCACTAAGAGAAGCAGGTAGATCAGAAATTAAGGTCGTCCTTGTCTACATAGCAAGTTCAAGGTCAGCCTGGGATATGAGACCCTGTCTTCAAAATGAACAAGAAAGAATCATATAACGGACCTTATTTTGCTTCTGAAATATTTATGTTGCACTTTAACAATATGTACATTTACTCAGAGTCTTGTATGCAGGTCAGAATATAAAAAACTTAAAATGTTTTTCTTCATTAATGATAATGATTAATCTATAGTGTGATTTTCTATCAAGTGAAACAATGTGAAGCTTGGAAATAATTTAAAAGTTTTTAAATATTTAAAAATGAAGGAGTAGCAAGTCTTTTGGCCACTTGTAGCACTCGGAGCTTTAGATTGACCTTCATTCGGTGTCTACATCTTCTGTTTTGTTCCATGGTTCTTTATGTGCATATCTCAGCAACCTTACATACTGACTATAGGGTCAGCGTTTGTCTTTGCTTTTCCTAATCTTCAAGTTTTTCTTTTTGGCTTGTAAATAAATTGATTAATAAAACAATTGAGAAAGAATTGATCCCATTGCAAGTCTAGAACCAACCCCCTGACCCCTCGGCTATATAGAAAAGACTTTCTGGATTACATACTATTTTGGGGGAGAATTGTCCTAATGTTGCCATAGCTGTTTTCTACCCCCTTATGGTTATCTCGCTATATTACTTGACATCTAAAAGAACACACATTTTCGACCTGTGAGCTTTAAATATTTTACTGTTGGCTTTGGGCCATCTTCAGACTTCTTCCTTTGGTGTAATTGCTTTTGAACTTTGAGCATTTGCAGACTTTTCTTACGTGATGCTGTATAAAAACCATTGGTTTTAGGGGTACAGTTCCTTTTTGATCTAGCTTGGCCATTAAATCACTGACTGATCTCAAACATGTAGTTTGACTGTTGTTGTCTTCCTCTCTAAAATGAGACACAGAGACAAAAAAACTCTGTGTTTCCTTTTGCTTCTAGAGTTATAATAGGATTCTTTTGCAGACTTGCATAATAGAATTTAGTATTTTCTGTCTTGCTAACTCCCTGAGATTTAGGGTTAATTACTGTAAGGAGTCACTTTCTCTTGCTGTAATAAAATCCCTAGCCTGGTATGCTGATATATACCCCTAGTCCCAGATGCTCAGGAGGCTGAGACAGGAGGATTGCAAGTTCAAGACCAGCTTGGGATGTATAGGAAGACCTAGTCTCAAAACAACCTCAAGACAATAACAAAAACATCCCATTTTTTTTTTTTTTTGGGGTTTTTTTTTTTTTTTTTTTTTTTTTTTTTTGTGGTGTTGAGGATTGAATCTAGTAGCTCACCCACTGAGCTACATCCACAGTCCAAAAGGCTTGCTTAGTTCATAGTTTTAGTGGCTGAAATGCCAAAGAGCAGGCCAGTAGCTTTGGTGAGAACTCCCTCTGTATTATATTATAAAAGCATCTTGGTGGGAGTGTACACTAGAGGGAGAAGTCACATGGGGACACAGGAAACCAGAGATCAGGGGTCAGCCATGCACTTTTACAACAGTCATTCTCAGGAACTAAAAGGCCCTGGAAAAACCCCTTTAATTCCTTCTGAGAGCAGCACCCCCAGTGACCCCCACAGACTCCACCTCATAAAGTTTTCACATTACAACACTGGGGATACTGTCAACCTTTGGAGGACACATTAACCCCCCCGCCCCAAACCACAGCAGTTCATCTAGTTCAGGATTACTGTTGTAAACTAGAGAAGGCTAATGTTTCTGTGAGTCTTTTGTGCCTTGGACTTGGGTGTTTGAAAGGTAAACTCACTAATTCAAGTTAGAGATTTGGGAACTTGATTGAATTGACAAGCGATTTCCCAGATATATTTCCAATTTCTGTTATTGCTTGTAGTGCTTGTTGAAAGCTTGGCTCACAGAAAAAGAAGAGGCTTTGAATAAAGTTCAGACCAGCAGCTTCAAAGACCAAAAGGAACTGAGTGTCAGTGTTCGGCGTCTGGCTGTAAGTGTGTTGCTGTCAGTATCTGTTGTAAGCTTGTGATGTCTTTTGTAACTGAGTGTTGATACAGTTTAGTGAATACGGATTATGGCTCATTTCCCAACACTACATGGCTGCTGTCCATGATGAGCCTTGTCTTGTAGCATAGAGAACTGCAGAGCATGTAGGCTGTATAATACACACAGTTGTACCTGCTTTCATTTCCTGACTGAAGAGAAGATAAGACCATGTTGAGACAGAGTTGTCTAATAAATATCTCTCATGCTAGATTTTGAAGGAAGACATGGAGATGAAGAGGCAAACGTTGGACCAGTTGAGTGAGATTGGCCAGGATGTGGGTCAGTTACTCAGTAACCCCAAGGCATCTGAGAAGATGAACAGTGACTCTGAGGAACTGACGCAGAGATGGGATTCTTTGGTTCAGAAACTAGAAGATTCCTCCAACCAGGTACCTTTTGATTTGGATAGTGTGTTGTACCATGAAGCAAATATTTACATATTCAAGTTCCAATTTTTATAAAAGAGGGAATGAGGAGGTAACGCAGTTGGTAAAATGCTTGCCATGTAAGGATGAAGACCTGAATTCAAGCTCTAGCACCAACATAAAAAGCCCTTCATAGTGGCATGCTTGTAATCCCAGCACTGGGGAGGGAGAGACAGGCCTAGCCTACTCTTTGAGCTCCAGACCTATGAAAGACCCTGTCTCAGAAGACAAAACAAAACAAAAACCCAAAACCCAAGTGGACTATTCTGGGAATGATACCCAAGATTGATTTCTGGCCTCCACATACTGGTATACTCCCTTTCTCTCCCACAAAATAAAAGACAGGTAGACTAGTAGGTAAATGAAATAGTTGCTGTTTTTTTGTTTTTTTAAATACCTGCTGATAACTGACACATGGACATCTTCAGTTTTCTTAAGTAAACTAAAGAAATAGATTTATTTATTCATTGTTTACGTAGGATCTCATGTAGCACAGGCTGACCTGGAGCTCAATGCTTTGGCAAGCCTGGCTTGGAGTTCTTGATCCCTCTCCTTCCCCTTCCCAGTGCTGGGATTACACGCATGCACCACCATGCCTTGCTTATATACAATTTTAAACCTTACATTTATTTATTGTCTATTTATGTATATATGCATTTATTCATGAATTTATATATTTGTGTGTATAATTGCATGTATTATGGTGCATGTGTGGAGGTCAGAGGACAACTTCTGGGAGTTGGTTTTCTTCTATCATGTGGGTCTGGGGATCAAATTCAGGTTATTAGCCTTGGTGGCAAGTACCTCTACCTGCTGAGCCATCTTACTGGCCCTAAAATAAGTTTTAATACATCTTATACATCTTCATCAAACTTGTTAATACTCAATAGTTTAATCTGTAGTAACTGATAACATTTAGACAAGCATTCAATAATCTTTTTTAAAATTTTTAAAAATTTATTATTTTTATTTTATGTGTATGAGTGTATTGGCTGCATGTATGTGAGTGCACCCATGTCGTGCAATGCTGCAGAGGTCAGAAGAGGGCTTCAGATTCCCCTGGAACTGGAGTTAAGGACGGTTTGTAGCCGCCATGTGGGTGCTGGGAATCAAACCTAGATCCTCTGCAAGAGCAGTCAGTGCTCTTAACCGCTGAGCTAACTCTCCAGCCCCGTATTCAATAATCGTACAAAAATCATCTTAATCTTAAAATCACTAGGTGAATTGAAACAAATCCTTGATTTTGTCATGGATGTTTATAATAGTATTATTTGTGATAAAAAATGTGAAAGTCTAAATTTCCATCAGCAGAGGAATGGATAAATACAGTACCTCATATCTAAACATTACAGCATTAATTGACAATAAGAAAGGAATGCGACATTGACACATATGACATGGGTGACCCAGGAAAACAGGTTGAGCACAGGAAGAGCCCTGCAGAGGGAATGGTGTGGAGATTAATAGTTGTCAGGGGTTGAGGGGTAGGGCTTGGCTGAGAATGGATGGATATCAGTTTTCTTTGGGGGGTAATTAATTTGTCCCAGAGTATAAGGTTGGTGAGAAGGAAAGATAGACAAGGGGATTAATGACTCAGTAACAGTATATGCTTTTTATTCGGGAGGAAAACCTACAGAGAGGGTTTTTTAGTCTGGGAAGCAGAGCCTGCTGTCTGATTAATGAAGGTGGTTGGTCTCTTGTCTAGGAAGCAGAGTCTGCTGTCTGCTTACTGGCTGGAGTAGTTACAGGGCAGAGAAGGGGAGGAGGAAGGAGATAGTAAGCGTTCCTTTCTTTGGCTTGTTGTTGGCTGTTGTTATAGGTAGTTAAGTGAGTTAAGTGAGCCTAGAGAACATCGGGTGATGGATGAGCATTTCTCTTGGTGGCTATTTCTGGGGGTCAATAGGGCAGGGAGGGTAAAAATCTAGAAAAGGAAGTTACTTTAGTTCTAGAAACCAAATTACTTTAGTTTTGGGAACTGTCATTGCTCAGCCAAAATAGATTTACAAAATGGTTTAACTCCAAGGTCCATGGCCACCTTGGAGTTAAAATCTGGAGTTGGTATTGTTATTTTTTTCCTTTTTTCTTTCTTTCTGCTTTGTTTTGTTCTTTCTTTTTTCTTTCATGTATTCATGCTGGTTTGGAACCCCTAATCCTCCTGCCTCCACTTACCCAGTGCTGGGATTACAGATGTGTGCTACCACACCTGGCTTAAATTGCTCATTTTCAAAGGGAGAATCTTAACAGTGGGAACTAAGCCTCAGAAAAGCTCTCTATTTTATTTTATATTTTATATTTTATTTTATTTTATTTTAAGAAGGTTTTTAAAAATATTATTGCCTGCATGTAGGTAAGTGCACCCGTGTCGTGCAATGCCCATGGAAGACAGAAGAGACTGTTGTATCCCCTGGAACTGGAGTTATGGACAGTTGTTAGCTGCTATGTGGGTACTAGAATTCGAACCTGGGTCTTCTTCAAGAACAGCCAGTGTTCTTAACTGCTGAGCCATCTCTCCAGCCCCTCAGAAGAGTGCTTTATACAAAGTCAGAACTCATTGTGATGTTTCTTTCAGGTGACTCAGGCGGTGGCAAAGGTGGGCATGTCACAGATCCCTCAGAAGGATCTTTTGGAGACTGTTCGTGTAAGAGACCAAGGAGCGACAAAAAAGTCCAAGCAGGAGCTGCCTCCTCCTCCCCCCCCAAAGAAGAGACAGATCCATGTGGATATGGAAGCCAAAAAAAAGTGAGACCACAGAGGGAAATTGCCCAAATTCAGCACTGCACGTTACACATTTGATAGTTGGCACTTAATTTGTATTAATCACTAATCAAATGCAATCTAGACAGCAGTGCTGAGCTCATTTACTGCGTTTGCATCTTTGGAATATTCTGCTTCATACTACCTAAGCCTCCAAATTGCCCTGAAGGATTTTGTTTATTCTCTGTTCCATTTAGAGACTGGTGTGGTGAGACCCTTGTTTTTCCTTCCCTGTCATTTATCTGGGAGCGATCTGGTTATCTGTGGCTTCTCATTTATTCTTTCATTCATATGTTAAAACACAGTTTGGCTTTGGTGATCCTTATTCTTTGAAATTCTCCTTCCTCTTCTCACCGTTAGGAAATAATGTAGTTTTGGTTTCCTATTTTTCTTTCTTCTTGATTCTATTTTTTTTTTCTTTCATACTTTCAGGTTAATTTCTTTGTCAGATTCTTAAATAGACTCTTCATGCCCAGGTTAAAGATTTCTCTTTGGTTGAAATGTTTCTTTTTTTCTTCTTGATTGAAAAGGAAGTTGGTGACCTTTATAGGTAGGATGATACAGTTGGCATACTTTGGGCTTTTGCTGGTGTCAGGTCTTTTAAACTGTGCTGTGCTCTAGGGTCCATCCATAGCTTCTGTGTGCACCACAGTGAACCTTCAACATGGCTTTGAGGGCTGACTGTATTTTCTCCATGGAGTGGGATCCCAGGGCTTGGGTAAATGGGAATTCATTAGAGGCATGAATAGAAATGATATGCTTTTTATAGTTTAGCTTTTGTTAGACCAAGCAGGATTCCACTTCTACCAAGGTGATTTTCTTTTTGATCCTATGCTTGTTTCTGCCTCCTAATGGTCTCTTCTGCAGGACCAGTGCACCCTGGGTTGCAAGCAACAGCTACGAAACCTTTGTCTTTAGAACCAAGGCAGCAGGGAAGCAGATACTGCTGATGTCAGTGTTAGCAGCAATCTTAGATTTCCTAAGTCCTTGTTAGCTGGCAGGTGTACCTGGAGTGTGTGTCTCCAGGGCTGACTTCAGAAAAGACTAGGGTGTCTCACGCTGGAAGCTCAATTTAAACATGCTGGTAGTGAATAGGGAGCCTTCTACTGCAAGAAACAGAATACTGTATGTACCCAAGGTGACTTAAGCAATGAGATCAATATTGTACCGTATGACAAAGAATCCCGAGGTAGCACAGTTGCAGTAAGATGTGATTCAGCTAGTGTTCCCACACCAGTCCCTACCGTCCTTGGCATGGTAGCTCCTACCCTTAGTCTTGTCCTTTCAGCAAACTGCTTCCCTGATGTCCATGGCCAAGATTTTGTCACTTATTTGTTCAAGTACATAAAGAGCCCTCAGTGCACGGGAGGTTGAGATGAACAGTTTTATTCTGTCTCTGTCTCTGTGTGTAGTTTGTACAGAAGTGCAGAGAGGGGGTTGTGAGTAGTGAGCTCTGAGGGCCAGTCATGAGTTCTGAGAGTGGGCTGATGCAGACATTCCTTGAGTTAATTCCTGGACGGAGGCTGAGTACATGCAGTTAACTGTAGCAGAAGACAGGCAGATCTCATTATTAGAAAGGATATTTTTATGCTTCGAGTCTGCCTCCCCTCAGCCCCCTGGTTCTTCTGTGTGCTCTCTTTGTGGAGCTCTGTTCTAGGAGATATTAGAGTCCATTGGGCACCTATGGGATGTCCAAGTTCTTGTGTCCTACCTAGAATAAGAAACTGGATGACAGGTATGCATAGTAGCTGACAGTTTATTGGGAAATAGTATACTTCCTAGGAGGGGGACATGGGCCAGAGCTGGGAGGAGGGTTGGAGGCCCAGTGTCTCTGCACAAAGATTATGACTTCATATGGGTTGTTTGCATGCAAGAGCTTTCTCTTATTTGCATGGTTCTGGCTTTCCCCTTGCATGCTCTTTGTTGGCCTGGGTTGGGGAGGTTCCTAGTCTTCCTCTCTGCAGGTTTCTCTCATGTGCCAACCTCCCAGCCCATATGCAGTTCACCTCCTCTCCTACTCTCCTGCCTCAGTCCCTCTTTGTAAAGGAACCATGTGAATATTTGAAGTTAGCGGTCATATTCATTTCCATTGTCCTAATGCCCAGAGTGTCCCTAGGTATTCCTAGTGTGACGTGACTTTCAGACCCTTTCCTATCTTCACCTGCTGTAGAAGTCATGATGAACTTGTGTTGACTTGGACTCACTGAGCAGTTGAGAAGGCTTAAAGTAACTGCTTACCACAGAGCCCAGTTTACCTGACATGCTTTAAACATCGAGGTCTGTTTTCTCTTCCTTTCTCTTGGTAGATTTTATTTTATTTCCCTTATTTATTTTTTCCAGCTCAGGGCAGACATTTCCAACTATTTAGGGATCTGGTACTGAGATCAATGTATCTTGCTCATTTAGAGGGCAGAAATTGACTTAGTCTCCAAGGCCATTTAAAATATGTAGTCTTTGGGTGACTTTCCCCTTCTCTGAAAGATTACATAGCAGTTTACTGTAAAATGGCAGGTGGAATGTACTGTTTGTATGGCCCCTGGCTATTTAACTAGAGTATCACAAATTCCCTTATCTGGGGCTGGAGAGATGAGATGTCTCAGTGGTTGAGAGCACTGGCTGTTCTTGCAGAGGATCTAGGTTCAATTATCAGCACCCACATAGCAGCTAATATCCGTCTGTAACTCCAGTTCCAGGGGGTCTGACACCCTCTTTTGACCTCCATGGGCATTGTATGACATGAGTGTACTTACATTCATGCAGGCAATATACACTTATACATAAAATAATAAATAAAATATATTAAAAAATCCCTTATTTATGTTCAATGAAACTCATAGATGCTGAGTTCTCTGAAATAAAAGGGATTTATTGAGTGATTCTGAGGCAAGTTCTGAAATTTGCAGCAGCAAAACTAGCTAGCAGTTGGAAATGAGTATGCTGGAATTTAGAGCCAAAACATGTGAGCGTGCGTGCGTACGTGTGTGCATGCGTGCGTGTGTGCGTGTGTGTGTGTGTGTGTGTGTGTGTGTGTGTGTGTTATTCCAGAGATCCATCTTGACTTCATTCCTGAGGCATGGTCCACTTTATTTTCTTCATAGTGAGCCTCAGAGAACCTCTTGTGTCTGCCTCCCTAGCTCTGGGATCATAAACATGCCACCAAGCCTGGCTTTTTAAATGTGGGTTCTGGGGATCTAACTGAGGTCTTACAAGGCAAGCACTTTACCTACTGAGCCACCTAGCTCCTCAGCCCTCAAAGCATAAACAATTGGAGAAGGAAGTTTAAATTGTTTACATTGAGTTTAGATTGGCTGTAGATAGAGGTGAAGTGGGTATCAGGCAGGGAAAGTCTTGGGATAAGTGAGTGAGCATTCCTAAGAGGCACTGTTACTTCTGGGGTTAATGGTTTGCAAAGTTTGTATGTTAACAGGTGGTGATGGGGTGTGTTGGGGGGGGCGGGGGGGTGATGGTGGTGGTGAGCCAGGTGCTAGGTCAGTTTTAACTCACTTTCAGGAATGTAGAATAGTCAGGTTAGTTCTGGTTGGTAGCTGTTAATTGATTAACCCCCTTATCTCTGACCACCTATACTCTAAGCCTTAGTGATTAGATTTAGGGTATTGCAGAAGTTTCTTTTCATTACATATTATATAGAGAACTTATTTGGGTGGAAGGACAATTATTCCTAATCCACTAGAAACACATCAGAGGACATTTCCAGGAAATCATCAAATATAGCCTATTTTACTGCTTACAATATGGAGATGCTGTGGGGTGAGAGGGCTGGGTACACGGATTATCTTTGTTTGAATCTCACCTGAACCATTTGTTTGTGTAGGGTAGTTATTTAAAACCTCTGTGAGCTCCGTTACTTCCACTCTACCAGGGATAATCAAAGTATGCTTTCATAGGATGTTGTGAGGGTTCTTGAGTTAATGATATACATGAAAGGCTCAGTCAAGGGCCTGGTCTCTGGTCACCAGTCAATGCCGTTTTTTCCTCTTTAATTTATATTATATTTTATTTTATGTGCATGAGTGTTTTGCCTGCATGTATGTAAGTGCACCCTTGTGTGCAATGCCCAGAAGAGAGTGTGGGATCCCTGCAAGGGAGTTACAGATGGTTGTGAGCCACCATGTGGGAGCTGGAAACTGAGCCCCAGTCTTCTGCAAGAGTAGCTAGTGCTCTGAACTATTGAGCCATCTCTCCAGTTCCGTTTCTCCTCTCTCTCTTCCTCACTGTGACTTTGACCTGACTCCCAAGCCCGTTTCTAGCCTGTCTATTCTTCCTGCTCCAGTGGTCGCCCCCTCTTGTCCTATACCCGCCTTTTCTCTGCTCTGGTCTTTTTTTGGTTCTGTCTCCACAAGGAACAGAACAGTATGAATAGAATCTTATCAGTTCTGTGCTCGACACCTTTCACTGGCCTTTAATTGCTTTTTGGTTAAGTTCAAACTCCTTAATATTCCCTGCCGGGCCTTCCAGTAACTGGTCCTTGGGTTCTTGGCTGCCTTGTCAGTTAGCCTTCCCTGACAGGACTTACTGTTCCAGACACTTCTCTTTGTAGTTTGCAAAACCTCCTCTTCCTTTGTTTTTTCTTTGAGAGGAAAGCTGCTGAGCACAGGCACTGTTCTGCCCTGAAGCCATCTCTTCTCTGGTTGGGTTAGGGAGCCTGGCCTGTGAATGCCTGGAATTAGCACCTGGCAAATTCTTTTGTTATCACCTGTTCACCTGTTACTTTCCATTGCGTCCTGGTCATTGGAAGCCCCTAAAAGCTGAGATTGATATGGTTAAGGATATATTGAAGGAAAGAAGACATTAATTTTAGGAACTTTTGTATTGGTACTTTTCTGTTATTGTCTAGCTAGATTTGTATTTTGTTGCCTGCAACAGCTTGTAAAAATACAAATGATTTCTAATAAAGTTAGGACAGTTAATGTAATTATTTTATTAACACAATAGAATTATCACTCTTAGTTCTAAAAGTAGGATCCTGGTTTGGGTCGTTGCTATATTGCTGAGGTGCCATTTGGGGGTGTTTGAATACACATGCCTGCTGGGCATTTGGGTTGTTCTTTCTTGGACCAAGTAAAACAACAGAAGAAAACAATGACAGAGGCTAACATCTGCATCTTGAATCAGGTTTGATGCTGTAAGTGCAGAGCTGTTGAACTGGATTTTGAAATCAAAGAGTGCCACTCAGAACCTGGAGATAAAAGAGTTTAAGAAGATGCAGGAGACTGCAGGAATAAACAAAAAGTTGAAGGTAAAGCATAAAACCAAAATATTCTCTCAAATGAAATAATTCATCAGGCTAGATTTGCTGTTGGCGTGGAGATGGCAGGATCCAGAAGCTTCCTGTGAAGTAAATGTAGCCAGAGATGGTTTTAGAGGATCATAGTAAATGTTGAATCCTTTTGTCTCCGCTGTCAACAGATCTTCATGTAGAAGAGGAATTTTTACTATCTTTTCCCCCTCCAGCCACTGAGTTGTACAGTAGGGAACACTTCCAAAGCTCATCAGTTTGCATCACTATCTTTAAATCTTGTTTAGATCTACATAATCTGGTACCTAGTAATTTAGGCCTTTTGGCCTTTTGTATACAACAAACTGTTTCAGACTTTAACATTTCGTCAATATATTCTGTTTAAAGAAGACAAGCAGGTTTTTTTCTTCTTTTTTTTTAAAAAAGAAAATAAATGCAATCAGCTATTTGTATTCATGGATCCACTAACTGTGGATTGAAAATATTTTTTCAATCTAGAAAATTTCTAGAATTTTTTTTCTAGAAAGTTCCCAAAGCAAAACTTAAATTTCTTGCATAGCGAATGGCTTGCTGAATCCATATGAATCAAGTGTCCACACAGCCTCCTGTGGCTTCCCGCCATTTCACAGCCCTGCCCCAGTCTCTTTAGCTGACCTTGTTAGGGCATTGCTGTCTTGGTCTTGCTTATGTACTGTGTGAGATATAGGATGATTACATACAAGATAAACATGTACAGACTTTTTTCTTGTCACTTTGCCTAATAGGACACAGTATCACAACTATTTACCATCATATTATATATTTTAAGCAAACTAGAGATGAGTATACAGAAAAATATACACAGAATATATACAAATAGTATGCTTTTTACACACAGACCTTGAGCAGCCTCAGATTTTGGAGTCTTGGAACCAATTCCCTAAAGACAAATACTGAGGACCACTGTATTAAAATAATAAGCCTCAGATAAGAAGTGCTTTAGTTTTGGTCCTAAAACTTATTGTCATAATTTTAAAATTATAAGTGAAATGTGCTTGTGGTTCAAGTTTGAGTTACAGTTAGATCCTGGACCAACAGTGAAGCCAATAAGTAACACTGAGGAAAGTAGTTCCTTGTAGCTTAGCTTCTCCTCCCGATACCGTTTTCTGTTCTCACGATTTTTTGAAATGTTTTTTATTGCATTTTTATGTATTTCATACATAGTTAATCAAATTGAGGCTCTTTCCCCTGTCTGTGTCCCCCACAGCCCCTCCCAACAAACCTCATGCATTCTGTCATGTATGTTAAGTCCTATCTGGTCAAGCATTTGTACCCAGATGTCCTTCAGTACAAGTTCATCTACTGGATTCTAGTCAGTCTATCTAGAGGTCTTAAAGAAGATCTATTCTTCCTTACCCAGAAGTAATCAGTTGCCAACAGTTCCCAGGCTAGGAGTGGGGCCGCTGCTGCCCATTTTCCTTACTCCTCGATGGGCCCTTGTCTGGTTGAGTTGGCTTGGGTCCTATGCTCCATGCCATCGTTGTTGCAAGTTCACATGAGCAAGATTCCAGTGGCCTGAAAACTTCTGCTCCCTGTGTTCCTGGACCAACCCTGGCTCTTACAGTCTTTCTGACCTCTCGGTTACTGAGCTGTGGTGTGTAAGGTTTAGTATAGTTCTCATGATTTAAACCATTATTTTATTTCTTCCTCCCCTCCTTCCTTCTCTCCTTCCCTCCTGCCTGCCTTCCCTCCGTCCCTCCCTCCCTCCCTCCTTTCTCTAGGTTCTCACTGTGTAGCCCCACCTTGCCTGGAAACTTACTGTGTAGACCAGACTGTCCTGGAAATCACAGAGAGCTGCTTACCTCTGCCTCCCAAGTGCTGGGATCAAAGGCGTGCACCACCATGCCAGGCCTAAACCATTATTTTTATGGTGTGAAATACTCAAGCTATGTTTGTGAATGTATATTTTGGATCCAAAATGCTAATTTTAATAATGTGCTCTTTATAAAGACTCATAATTACAGAATATATTTTTTTCTAATACAAGAAAGTAAAGTTTTATAGTCACTGCATCACGGTTCTTGGAATATACTTTTTCAGATTTGTTTTTCCCTGGAGTGCTGAAAGGTAGCCAGAGAGAGTTATTTCACTGTAGTATTTTCTTAAGAAAACAACTTTGAAATACCTCAAGAAAATTCAAGCGGGCACTAAATAAAACATTAAAAAATAACATCAAAATAATTTTGAGAGGGAAGTTTTCATTATTTCATATTTGGACTTTATTTCCAGGGATTAGAAAAAGAACAGACAGAAAGAAGTCCCCGACTGGATGAACTGAATCAAACTGGACAGATCCTTCTGGAGCAGATGGGAAGAGGTGAGACCCTACAGGGTGTTTTTTAGTTCAGATTTTTTTTGGATGGTGACAAGAAATAATATTTGCAGTTTGACATATCAAATGTTTAATGCTATACCCCTCACCCCCTTTTAGCTAGAAAAAATGGTTCTCAGTTTTTAAAATAATGTGTGTGTAATTTTTGTACAAGATTTTTTTCTTTTCTTTATGTATGTGAGTGTTTGCCTGCGTTATATATGGGTACTACATGCATGCAATGCCCACAGAGGCCAGAAGAGGGCATCGGATCACCTGGAACTGGAGTTAAGGATAGTTGTTAGGCACCATGTAGGTGCTGGGACCTAAACCCAGGTCCTCTGTAAGAACAGCCTGTGGTCTTAACTGTTGAGCCATCTCTCCAGCCCCAGTTTTCAATTTTGGTAAGGCCATAGAATCTTTTAAGAACTGAAATCTTATATTGAAGCTTTTTATTAAAAGCACATAAAGCAAAGTCATTCTGTTCCCATACGGGGGTCAGAGAGCTAGAAACCCTGAGACCTCAGCAGAGTGATTAAAATCCAGTGGTGCAGAGAATTTAAAAATCTCGCATTTGGGGGTTATGTCCTCTAAATTTTTTTTTATCAGTCACCAAGGGAAAATTTTATACTGGCAACATTTTGGAAATGAAGTTGCCTTAAGGTAAACCCACTGCTGTTTTAGCTTCATTCTGTGGCTGTGAAAACTACTACAACCAAAAGCAACTCATGGGAAGAAAGGTTTATTTCAGCTCCCAGGTCACACACTGTCCATTACTGAGGACAGTCAGGGCAGGAACTCAAGGAGGAACTTGAAGCAGAGTCAGTCCATGGAGGAATGCTGCTCTTTGGCTGGCTTGCTTAGCAGGCTCCTGCCTAGTAGCTTTTTTATGTAGACCAGGACCACCTGACTAAGGGCTGATGCCACCTGCGGTGGGCTGGGCCCACCCATGTCAATTAACAATCAAGACAATCCCCAACAAGCCAATCTAATTTAGGCCATTTCTCAAGGTTTTCCTCTCAGATGACTGTAGGCTGTCAAGTTGACAAAGCTAACTAGGACACACTAATGTTTGGTTTTTTGCGTCACTCTTAAAGGATCACATTCATTTACTCCAGGGATTCTTTTCTAGTAAAATTTGGTAAACGTTATCTGTGTTTGAAAATTTTGCAAGCATTAAAGAACCCTTCTCCCTCCCACTCACAGCCCTAAAGTCTTGTATAGACTCAGAGAAACCTAAAAATAGTTTGTTTTTTTCCCCCTCTCTCTTCATAAAGAAAAAAGGTGAAAGGCTGAGAAAGTTAAAGGTTGGCCATTCCACCTGGTGAGGGTCACATGGTGCTTCCGGCAAACGGTAGAAGACTAGGTGCCAGAGGGCACGCATGCCAACAGGAACACAAATATAGAAACAAGGGGACAGGCCTAACCTTCCATTCTTGAGGTCTCCAGAGGAAGGGCCTCATGTAAGACCTTCCCTGTATACCCGTTCCTTATCCTAACAATGGTTATGTTTCTAGTCAGCTGGATGTACCCTCAGTGCCCCATCTGTATAGAAATCCCAGATAGGCCAGGAATGCTCTCTTGGCATCTGACATCAGTGAGTGACAGCAGCAGGCAGGCAGGAGTAATGGCAGGTAGCGCCCTCTCATGTCACAACTCTTGTGCAGGATTTGGGCAGCAGGACCCTTAGCTCTACAAGTGTACTAGCTCTTGTGTAAGTCTACAGAGTCCGAATTCTTTAGCCCTAGCCTAGAAGAGTCTAGCCCTTTAGCTTGTGTGTGGGCCTAGCTATTGGAATTCCTTAGTCTCTGACAATGACCCCAATCTCAGGCCAGTGTTACAGCTCCTGTGTTTGGTGTGTCTGAGCTCTTTGGCCCTGAAGACTTGGCAGCTTTCTGGAACTCTTCTAAGGACCATGGCCTGTGGTTTCTTCGTTCGCTTTTTGCAGCCTTCTATCTTTCCTCAGCCTCAGCACGTCACCCTCTCTTGTCTTCTTCCTACATCCTCCCTATTTCCGGTTCCTGCCCTTGCCGTTTGTTCTCTCCAGTTCTCTAGCCTCTTCTTGCTGTGGCCGCTGTCACAGTTGCTGCTAGTCAGCAGATAGCTGCCTGTCATCTTTTCTCTGCCGCTGGTCTAGTGGCTCTGCCTGTTCTGTAGCTGTCTGTACAGGTGGTCCTTCTACCACTTTTGCAGCTTGGCCTGCCGACTGCTCAGGTCTGCCTCTTCTTCAGACATTAGGTGGCCGACTGCATTGCTGCTTTTGGGATCTAGCACAAGAGGGTGTTTCCCAGCCAGTTCACCAAGTGAGCCAAAGAGCCCACTCCTATAACCAGAGAAGGAGTGTTTGCACCAATCACATCAGACATCACATGTAAATAAGATTTTGTGTTTACCTCAGCCATGGCATGTTGTCCCTTTTGTACCAGTCCTTTTGTGGGGTCACTGGGGAAAGTGCTCTCGCCTTGGCCTAAGTAGAAATGGTTGTGGTGTCATCTAGAGTTCACTGAAATTTGTACTTGCAAAAAGTTCAAAGTCTGGAACATTTGTGACTGGTGCTGCACCTTCAGGAGTTGGACTTGTGCTGCGGCCATGATAGACCTGTGGCTTCCTCAAGGTTCTTACAGAGTGTTCTCAGTTTCAGGTGGGGGCTGAGCACAGGCAGACGACTTGGCTGTTTTACTGACAGTCCTTTTGCTCAAGGCAGTAAGGAGAGCCCAAAACATCACCTAGGGGATCAGGTTGCCCCTCCCTAACATTTTTCTTATTTACAGGAAAACAAACAAGAATGCTTACAGTAAGAACTTACTAACATTTATTTCAGTTTTAACAGTGTCTAACAGCACATTGAACAATAACAAAGGTCAACTTCTGCCCAGTCAGTGTCTCTGGGAGAGGTGACATCCTCTGATCTGCCTCAGTGCCTGCTTTTATTCTAGACCAAAGCTACAAACAGCTAAGGCACAATGTGACTTATTGGGTAGTGAAAAGCCTTTAAATTAGTAGTTTTCAATCTTTTATTTATTTTTTTACTGGATTTTTTTGTGTATTCCATAAAGAAAAGCTCAAACAATCTTAATCATCTTTATACCCTTATCCCCACTGGCACCCTTCCATAGCACCCCCCTCACCCGAGCCCATATACTCTGTCTTCCCTGTAAAGGCCCACTGAGTTGCCAGTGTCCCCAGGCGTTCCCCAGTGTAAGTCTGTCTGCTAAGTCTATTCAGCCTATCTAGAGTCTCTTGTTTAAGGAAGATCAGCTCTTCTTCATCTAGCAACAATCAGTTGCCAACATTCCTTCAGATAAGATTGAGGTCTCCTGTTCATTTTCCCAGTTCTATGCTGGGTTATTGTCTGCCTGGAGTTTGTATGGGGCTTGTGTATGCTGACACCATTGAATCATATGAACAGGTTCCCAGGAGCTTGTAGGACTCTGTTTCCATATGGTCATGCACTTCCTCCCTGGCTCTTATAATCTTTCTGCCCCCTCTCTTCTGTGATGGTCCCTGAGCCTTGGGTAGGTGACATTTAATAAAGGGATCCTGTTCAAGGACCAGCATTCAGCAGACTCTTGATCAAGTGTGGTAATGAGTTTGGCTATTTGTGACCTTTTGTATTCCTGGCCCTCCACTGCATGAGGGAGCTTCATTATTGAGAACGGAGAGATTCATTAGTGACCTCTTCATTATCCCTGTTCTATGTTCCATGAGCCTTAGGTGTAGAGGCTGCATTGTAGATGTGTCACTTAGGTCTGGGCAGTTCATTGACAATTTCCGTGTGTGACCAGTGGTGGTACTTGGTAATAGTCTCTGACTGGTACAAAATGAGCTTCTTTGATGAGTGGCGACTGGAATATTTGTCTGTAAATATAAGGATACATATTTTGCACATAGTAAGAAATCACATTAGTCTAGTGATGTGATAGTCTTGGAGTTTTCTCTAAGATCTATGTCCACTCTAACCGTGTGTATTAGGTTATGTTTACATTACCACACTTGAGTTTCCTCCCTTTTCATGGGCCTTCAGTCAAATTAGGTAGCTGTTGATTGCCCCCAAGATAAGAGTGTCACTACTGCACCAATGATGTATGCTGTGCTGGCCATTGATGTGGTTATTTGGTCTTGAATCTGCTGTTGGATCATCCATTGATGTTTTCCCTTGGCACCTTCATAGTGCTCTCCAAAGCTATGAGAGCTGCCTTCAGGGAAAGTGGTTGCAGGTTAGTGGCAGCTCTATTGCTCCAAATCCTGTGTCTGAAGTATGTTTTGTCTTCATCAGTAGGGTCTTACCTTCAAGTTCTGTGAGACCATCAAGGGCTGTGGCAATACCCTGAGTAATTTTGGGAGTCTCTTGGACCTCCCTGGCCAACAACTCAAAGGAAGATATCTCCTGTCTGGCACTGTTTCTTGTTTTGTAGCCGTTAGCTGTACATATGGGCTCATGTAGAGATAGTGTATGTATAAATTGCCAGTAGGTTGTTGGATTAATATGGTTCCCTCTGGTTTTTTAAAACTAGCTAGGTAGTTTTCAATCTTTATTTTAAGGTTTTGTGTGCATGTGTGTGCTAGGTATGTGGAGGCCAGAAGGCAGCCCTAGATGTTATTGCACAGATGCCATCTTCTCTCCTTGAAGACAGGGCTTCACTGTGTGGAGCTCACTGATGAGGCTAGGCTGCCTGGCCAGCAAGCCCAGCTTTTTCGGGTGGGTTCTGGGGGTCAAACTCAGATCTTCGTGCTTATATAGCAAGTGCTTTACTGACAAAGCCGTCTCTCCAGTCCTAGCTAAAAATTTTTCTTATATAAATTCCAATTATGTATAAAACAGTGTAATGAATGTCCCTGTCCTGCCACCCACATTGATAATGTTCTGTCTTTCTTGCCTTATCTGAGTCTTCACCGTGCCTCACTCCCTTGACTCCTATTATTTCCTCAAAGATTTTTAAAGAAAAGTTTACTGACAGTGAAAGGCATGAAACTAAACTGTGCCATTTGACTTCCAGATATAACTGTAAGCTACAACATACAAATCATTATATAGAACTTTTCCATTTTTCCTAAAAGGTATCATGCTCCTTTCAGATCACTTACCCTCTCCTAGCAAACCTCTGTTCTTAAATTTTTTAACTTTAAATGATTTTGTCTCTAGCCTTTTTTTTTTTTTTTTTTTAAATAATGCTTATTCCATTGGAAAACCACAGCCTAGTCTGACAGGGCTTTCCCCTGTTATCTTTGCCTAAAGTTTTTGATGTCTCATAGAATATAAGCGTGCTTTAGTCTCCCCGGTTGGTACACCCAGTCTTCTTGCTTGAGCTTATCTTGGAGGTTGTCAACAGCACAATGTTTGGGCACTTGCATAATGTGGCTTTTAAAACTATATGGATTCCAGTGGGGGGGTTATGGGAGGGTGCTAGTGGGGATGGGGGTATAAAGATGATTAAGATTGTTTGAGATGTTCTGTATAAAATACACAAAAATTCAATAAAAACAAATTTAAAAAACAAAACAAAAACTGACACCCATTACAGCTGACTAAGCCTTTTACACCTGTGAAGACTAACGGTTACTTTGTGTTTTATGAACATTTTCCTTGACTTCAGTAGTGATAGTTGATAATTATAAAGACTATGACAGAAGGTGTCAGGAATAGGGTGAATGTTGTTTATTTTTCCCATTTTGTTTTTCTGAGACAGAGTCTTGCTCTGTAGTGGAGGCTGGCCTAGAACTTGTAATATTTCCGTCAGTCTCCTGAGTGCTGACACGATGGATATGTGCCACCACCCCAGCTATGATGTTTCTTTTTGATAATTAATAAAATATGTTTTTTTGTCATTATTACTTTTGGATTAAAAATTTTTTTTAAAGAAAGGATTTCATATAGCCCATGTTGGCCTTGAACACCTTATGTAGCCGAGGATGACCTTGAAATCCTGATACTTCTGAGTACTGGGATTATTGGCACATGCCCCTACGCCTAGTTTATGCAGTGTTGGGGATTGAACTCAGGGCCTCTTGCATGCTAAGCAAACACTCTACCAACTGAACTACACTCCCAGCCCTTCTGTAGGCTTTTACTGGTCATTTTCTAAGAGTTTCTAAGTGTTCCATATAAGTATCTCTTTAAAACAAGTTTTAAAGACAGTGTATAGTTTTCCTTAAGATGCATAGTTTTTGCTTTTCTATTACTTGACATTTGTAGCCAGCAGTATCTTAACCTCAGAAAGGAGATTTAAATTTTTGGGACTGGTTTGAAGGAGCAAAGTGGATGAATCATGAATCATAGTAACTGAGGAGGCATCTTCAGCCGCCCTAGGACCTGAGGTGACTACTTCTTGTCAGCTTTTGATGAATGCTGGTGACTTTCCCCTCAGAAATTTTATTTAACGGCTTAATTTTCTTCCTTGTTTAGCATCACTTGCCCTGACATAAAAACTAAGTGGCTGGGACAGGGGAGATGGGTCAGTAGGTAAAGAGCTTGCCATGCAAGTGTCAGGACTGGCGTTTGGATCCCCTGCATCTACCACATCCATATCAATGTTGAGTGAGCTTGGAAGCCAGCCTGAAATCTCAGTGCCCTGGAGGCACAGACAGGAGATCCCTGGGTCAAGCTGGCTGGGTAGATGAGCCACGTAGACAAACTCCAGGTTCGGCAAGAGACCTTGCCTAAATTTATAAAGCAGAAAGTAACAGAGGAGGACACCTGGTGTTAAACTCTGGCCTCCGCATGTTGCACTTACATCACGTACGCATGTACGTACTTTCATGGACACTCATACATATATCTATACCACACATACGTGCATATGCAAAAAGCAAGTGGCTGATGTTATTTTGCCTGTATCTACCCAGAAAAGAAAGCACCAGGTTGAGACACATCTTGTGTCTATGTTGTTCACATACTTGGCAAGAAAATGTGCTTTATTTGTTCATGACTCCATGAACAGGGGTAATTGAGCGCAGACTGTGATGTGAATGCCTTGTTTAGGTCTGATAATTCTCTTACCAGCTTGAGAGTTGGAGCTTGAGTTTCAACAGCTGGTGTGGGCGACACATTTAATCATGGCATGATATGTATGTATTTCTACTTTCCACTGGATGCAGTGTGCTATAGAAATTTCTGAAGTTGTATTGTCTGTGGAACAGAAGTGACCTGTTGTTTGCCATGACATTTTTCTAGTTTGAACCCTCATTACTATGGATTTCGATCATATATGTTTACAGAGAAGACTTGTTTTACTGCTTTCCTACTCAAATTATGAAAATGCTAAGCCCATCCTTTCAACCTACGTATCCTTCAAATATAGATTCCATTGCGAGTTTTGTTTCCTCATACTCATTTTAAAAGATTTGATGGTATTTTATACCACAAGAAGGAATATGGAAGGGCCTATTATTATATATAATTATCATTTTTAGAATCATTCTCCGCCTTTACAAAATATGAGACAAAAATCATGAGATTTCCATTGGCCAGTGAGATGGCTCAGTGGGTAAAGGCACTTGCTGCCAAACCTGATTGACCAAGTTCCACCCCTGAAACCCACATGGTGGAAGGTGGGAACCAGAGGTTGTCCTCTGACCCACACTTGCACTTTGGCACATGTGCATCTACATGTGTGCATACACATAAAAATAAATAAATAAATCAGTTAATAAATGTAAACGTTATAAGACTGCCATAATAAAAATGATAGTATTTGGGGGATGTGTCTCTGAAGTAGGTATACTCTTATCACTGTTTTGATATTTTTTGTATTTCTCAGTCTCAGTCAGTATGTCTAGTAGGCTTGCTGATGCTTCTTGGGCCTGGCTCCTGACTTAACATTCCTACTTGTACTTGGTTGCCTCCTGGCAAAGGGGTTCTTATCTGTTATATAATTGATTCAACCCTGTGGTTTGGTCACCACAGACTTAAGCTGCTTCTTAGTTTTGCTTGTTGGCTCTTTTTTTAAAAAATTCTTATGGTGGAGTGCATATGTTCTTATGTCAGAGCTTTGGACAAATTCAGACATTTGATTTTATGTCCCTGAATGAAACTGTAAGCAAACAGAGTGGTAGCATGTCAAGCATGGAAATGTTCATTCTATGGAAGAGGAGTGGCTGATGTTCTATTTAAGTGTCTTTTGCGATCACGCAGCACACTCAAGCTGCTCTTTTAGGCTCCCCCTACCCTCGTTGGAACAAGATGTTGAAACAGATCTAATAATCTTAAATGCATCATCATAATTCTTAGTTGTTGTGGTAGAAGGGACTTAAGGGAATGGCCATTGTGCCATTATGTGTGACAGTGTCTCATTTTTCAGTATGTTAGAGCGTCCAGGACTAATTCCAAACACTTTTGGTAATACTAGATGAAGTGTCTGCTTGTTTTTCTGTTTGTGTAGAAGGTCTTTCAACTGAAGAAATAAAAAATGTTCTGGAAAGGGTTTTATCAGAGTGGAAGACTGTATCTCAGCAGCTGGAAGATCTGGCAAGAAAGATTCAGCTTCAGGAAGATATGAATGCTTATTTTAAGCAGCTTGATGCCCTTGAGACGATCGTCAAAAGGAAAGAGAAGTGGCTTCAGGACACAGCCATCTCCGAATCCCCTGGGCAGTCCTTGTCAAGCTTAAAGGAATCCTGCCAGGTAGGGCAACAACCTCCCGGGGCACATGAGCTTTTGTGCTGGGTTTCATATATAAAGAGGATATGTCATTCTCTGTGTGTGAGTGTGTGTGGTGTAAGTGCATGTTCCCATGGAGGCCAGAGGAGGACGTTGGATGTCCTGCTCTATCACAGCCCATCACATTCCTTTGCGATGTGGTTTTTCACCAACCTGGAGCTAGGCTGGTGGCTGGCAAGCCCCAGCTCTCTTCCCAGCTCTGCTCTCCACAGTACTGGGGTTACAGGTACATATGGTCATGCCTAACTTTTTATGTGAGTGCTGGGCATGCACACTCAGGTCCTCATGCTTGCATAGTGAGTATTCTTCCACCAAGCCATGTCCATAGCCCAGTAGGATGTATGTATCTTGTATCATGAGCTTTAAGTTCATTTTTTTTCTTAACTTCCTGTCTGGAGATATCTTCATGGAGTGAAGTGACTGTATTTCTTTCTTCCTTAGAGGGAGCTGACAGAGCTCCTCGGCCTCCATCCCAGAATTGAGATAGTGCTCGCAAGCTGCTCATCCCTGAAGTCTCAACCTTCTGCCCCAGGTTTTGTCCAGCAGGGTTTTGATGACTTTCTAAGTCACTACCAGGCTGTACAGAAGGACCTTGGGGATCGTCAACGACAACTCGAGACGGGTAAATCTTAGCTTTCTTCTGCAGGCATTTTACCATCTCTCTCTCCTCTCAGTTTGCCTTCATTGAAAAGCTGCTCCTAACATTTAGACTCTTAGTGTGTTTGTGTTTTGTTCTGTCTTCACTCTGTTTTCCTCTGCACCTGTCTCAAGTATCTGTCGTAAAGTATATTCAAACTATTTCCTGTGCTCATGCTTGGTTGTATAAATATAAATAGGATATGATGATTGTTTGAGAACACACACACACACACACACACGCACATATATATATATATATACCTTTTGTTGTGTTGAGGATGAACCCGGGGCCTTGTGTATGCTAGGTAAGTGCTGTATAGATAAGCTACACTCCAAGCCCTTTTAGAAATTAAAAAAAAACCTTTTTAAATTGAATTTTTGTGTTTTTCATACATAAAATCATCTTTATGCCCCCTCCCCTTTGGCACCCTCCCATAGCCCCCCACTGTAGTTTATACATTCTGTCATTTGTTTTAAGGCCTATTATGTAAAGTAGTGTCCCCAGATGTCCCTTAGTGCAAGTTCATCCACCAGGGTTTAGTCAGCCTATCTAGAGTCTCTCCCTTCAAGAAGACCAGCTCTTCCTTGGCCAGCAGTAATCAGCTGCCAATAATTCTTCGACTAAGATTGGGGCTTGCTGTTCATTTCCACAGTTCTGCTGGGTTTTTGTCTGCCTAAGTTTGCATGGATCTTATGCATTCTGACACCATTGCTGTAGGTTTGTATGAGAAGGGTCCTAGGTGCCTGCAGTACTATTTCTGTATGTCTCTGGACCTCCTCTGGCTCTTACAATCTTTCAGCCCCCTCTTCTGCAATGGTCCCTGAGCCCTGGGTGGTTGGACCAAGGACCCACACTCTTCTGACTCTTATTCTCTGTGTTTCGGTCATTTGTGGCCTTTTGTGGTCCTGGCCTTCTGTTTCATGAAGGAGCTTCATTGAGGAGAATTGAAATATGCATTGTGTTTTCTTTGTCCCTTGTTCTATGTTCTGTGAGTCTTAGGTATAGAGCTTGCATCCCAGATGGGCCACTTAGGCTTGGGCAATTTACAGAGAATCTCTGTGTGTGACTAGTGGTGTAACTCTTTAATAATCTGTGTTTATAAGGATTTGATGCTAGGATCCACAAATGAGGGAGAACATACATCTTTTGTTTTTCTGAGTCTGTGTTACTTCACTTAGTATAACAATTTCTAGATCTGTCCAATTACTTGCAATTTTTTTTCTAAAGATAGGATCTCATTTTGTAGCCCAAGCTGGCCTGGAACTCACTATGTAGACCAGGCTGGCCCGAAACTCACAGAGATCTGCCTGCCTCTGCCTCCTGAGCACCGGGATTAAAGATGTGCCCAGGCTTTACAGAGATTTTGAAAGAGAAACTATTGCTCCTTTCTTTTGCTCATTCCTAGTAAGACTAAACAATATGATCACTAACTTCTCTTTACCCAAGGTGGTTAAGGTTATAGCAGTACCATCCCTTCTTTTGAAAGAAATAAATTGATTTGTTCTTCCAGAATCTGAAAAACAAAACAGCAACAACACCCCCCCCCAAAAACAAACAAACAAAACAACTGAATGACCTTATTCCTTTCAGATAAAGCTGGTGTTGGGATGCTAACTGCTAAGGATTTTGAAAGCTTGTCTATGTTATATGTTTCCACTCTTCAGCTGCTGCATTAGATTATTATGGATTGTGTATACTCAAAAGCTGTGGACATCGCCAGTCCCTTACTTTACCTATTGTGCATTATGTGCGGACATTAAGAATGTGCATGTGTGCATGTTAGGCAAATGTGTCATGTTGTCTTCTGAATGTGAAGTTGGCTGTCATGGAGTTAGTTTGCCCATAGAAGTCAGTTCACTTGCAGTGTGACATAAAAACCTGTGTGGACTTCTTTATCAACTTCCTGGCACTAGGCATGTTTTCAGTTTTCCCAAGGATCGGCAGGCAGTTTAACTTGTGCTGCTACTTGATTTCACCTCTTGGTGCTTTAAATGCAGCTCATTTCCTTTCTGTACAAATGATTCTTGTGTGGGGTTTATACAGCGGGCTGTAGTGTTCCTGCATAGTTTGTGCGGGTTCATGAGCTTGCAGGAAGACGGATGGAGGGGTCTTGGTTTCTTTTTATTCTTTGTGTCATAGTTGGGGAAGAGGAGATTATGTGGGACAAAAGGAATGTTGTCCTTAGTGCTTCGGAGGGACATTTCATCATGATAAAATGAAGAAAAATGCTAGTGAGTTCGTATTTCTGAAGTCTGTGTACCAGGAATGAAGCCATTGTCTGTTTGTTAGAAATGCCAGAGGAATGGCCTGTTTTATTAGGCAGCGGAGATTCTTTTCAGTTGTTATCATAGCGTCTAATTTTTTACCCATTGGAATCTCCTGATACGTAGATTAATGGTGCCAATGGTAGCAGTGTTGAATTCCTAATGTTTTCTCTAAGTTAAGTATTTTTTTTTTTTTTTGAGGCAGGGTCTCCCTGTAGTCCCAGCTGTCCTGGAACTCACTGTGTAGACCAGGCTGGCCTTGAACTCACAGAGATACACCTGCCTCTGCCTCCCAAGTGCTGGGATTAAAGGTATGTGCCACCACGCCTGGCTAAGTTAAGTATTTTTAAATAACCAGAACTGAAGAGCCAACCTACACCTGCTTATTTGGACACATTGAACACACTGAAAGAGATGCTAAACAAGACAGACAATCAGGCCCAGACATCTCTGAATACCCTTGATGACCTCACAAAGATGGAGAAGGCCCTGCAAGAAAAAAAGGTAATTTATGTTTGAGAGCTCTCCTAACATTTCTGATAGTTCATGGTGCATATTTGATTTTGTTTGTTTGTGTTTTTCTTTTGTTTTTTTTGTTTTTGTTTTGAGACAAGGTCTCCCTATAGCCTCAACTGGCCTGGAACTTGACCAGGCTAGCCTTGATCTCACATAGTCTACTTGCCTCTGCCTTCTGGGAGTAAAGGCATGTGCCACCATGCCTGGCTGTCATGTTACATATTTCACAGTAGCTTTTCAGTGGTATCAAAAATTGCCCATTTTTGGTTACTATGTAAACATTTTAAAAAATTTATTTTTATGTGGAAATATGTTTTGCCTACATGTATGTAAGTGCACCTGTGTGACATGCAGTGCCCCTGGAGACCAGAAGAGGGCATCAGATCCCCTGGAACTGGAGTTACAGATGTTGTTACCTGTCATGTGGGTGCTGGGAATTGAACCTGGATTCTCTGCAACAGCATCCAGTGCTCTTAACTGCTGAGCCATCTCTCCAGCCCCTCTTGCTTGTTTTTTGGAGTCAGGGCTTCATTCCATAGTGCAGGCAGGCCTTGAACTGACAGCAATCCTCCTGCTTCACCATCCCCAGTGCTGAGATGACTGCTTTAGCCACCCATGCCAAGCTGGATAATTTTATCTTGAAAAAGTTTTGGTTGCTTTTTTTGAGTGGCCTTAAGGCTGTCCAGTAATCCACCAGATAAGAGATTAATTTTTGACCTTGACCCACACTGGATTTACTATTTCAGTGAATTTTCAATGTAGAGAATACATTATGTCATATACACACAGCTCATGAAGGGACATTTTAAGTTTTTTGATTATGCCTATTTGTTTTGTCTTGAGTTCCTCCCTTTTTCCCCTATATAGTTCTTATCATTAAGTCTACAGATATTTTGTTGTATGTGTTTAATCTTTTGAAACTTTTTCTAGGCCCTTGATGAAATCCTTGAGAATCAAAAACCTATATTACATAAACTTTCAGAGGAAACAAAGGCTTTAGAAAAAAATGTGCTTCCTGATGTAGAAAGAGTGTATAAACAAGAATTTGATGAGGCCCAAGGAAAATGGAATAAAATAAAAGCCACCGTTTCCAAAGACTTACATTTGCTAGAAGACGTTACCTCCAGACTCAGAGCTTTTGAGGTAAATCCACAGGCTTACAGAAGTTAAAGTTTGTTCCAGGGTAGATGGTAATTATTGTATAAGACTTGAATATTTGCTTTTTGACTCTTTTGCATTCTTTCTGGTGCCCCATTTATTATGTGCTTAAGTTAGGATTTATAATTTTCTTATCAAAGACATACTTTTGATATACTGGCAAGCTCATGTCTTTCTTTGCTTGTGAACATGGCTTTTTGGTAGTGGTGAACTGGACCTTGAAGAGAAAACTGCATAATAATGGTCAAAATAGGTTTTTTTTTTTTTTTTTTTTTTTTTTTGTTTTTTTAGGGTCTCCCTGTAGCCCCAGCTGTCCTGGAACTTACTATGTAGACCAGGCTGGCCTTGAACTCACAGAGATCCATCTGCCTCTAGAGGCCTCTCCAGTGCTGAAGGTGTGTGCCACCACACCCAGCAAAATAGGGTTTTTTAAAAACAAATATTTTACTGATTTTTTTTTTTTTTAATGTGTACAAGTGTGTTGCCTGCATGTGTGTTAGTGCACCTGTGTCCTTGAGTGCCTGTGGAAGTCAGAAGAAGATGTTGCATCCCTTGGAACTGGAGTTACAGACAGTTGTTAGCTGCCATATGGGTGCTGGGACTTGAACCCAGGTCTTCTGCAAGAGCAACCAGTGCTCTTAACCACTGAGCCATCTCTCTAGTCCCTCAAAATAGGGTTTTGTTATGGGGGACATATGGATTGGTGATTAGCTAGTGGTAACTACTTGTAGTGGTAGAAGTTGTCCAGTTAGTCACAGAGAGTAGGATCCTTGACCCTGTTTGGCGGGGGGAGGGTGTTTGTGGGGTGCTATAGCCCAGGCTGGTCTTCAATTTGTTATGTAGCTGAAGATAATCTTGGGCTTCTGATCCTCATGTCTTCACTTTCAAGTGCGAGGATCACAGGTGTGCGCCACCACATCTGGTTTTTTTATGCATTGCTGGGGATTGAACACAGGCCTTGTGCATGCTAGACAAGCATTCTGTCTATTGAGGTAACCCAGCTCTATACCTCAGTGTTTCTACTATGAATGAGTAACCCTGGCAACCTTCGGCTATACTCACAAAACACACATATATTACAATTTTATAAATGAGAGTTGTCTTTGTCTGTAATTCCAAAAAATTTGGTAATGGTCCTGGCATTGGATTATCAGTGATTTTCAATCAACAGTGATTTTACCCACAATAAGACACTTGTTAGCGTGGAGACATTTCTGACTGTCACTGCCCTGGGGATGAGAGGCAGGTGACATTTGAAGGGTAGAAGCCAAGGATGCAGGTAGCCAGTCTATAACACACAGGTAGGCCCTCATGGAAGCAGAATTACCTAGCCCCAAGTCTCCATAGTTCAAGGTTGAGCCATCCTGGATGATCTATTTCCATCTTTTCAAATTTAAATCTTAGGTATAGTTAGGAGAATTCATGTGTAATTCATAAACTAAAGTAAACTACATTTATGAGTTCTAGTTTTCTTTCTCTTGCTACAATAAAATACTCTGACCAAAAGCATCTAGGGGAGGAAAGGGTTTATGTGTCTTATACTTCTAGACACAGTCCATTGCTGAGGGAAGTTGGGGCAGAAACAAGTAAGAACTTGAAGCAGAAACCATGGAGGAGGGCTGCTTGCTGGCCTTGCTCCCAGACCCATGCTTAGCTGCTTTCTTTTTCAGCCTAGGATCACCTGCCCAGGCAATGGAGTCGTCTACAGTGGGCTGGGCCCTCCTGTGTCTATGTCAGTTAACAATCAAGACAATTCCCCACAGACATACACGTTAGCCAGTCTGGTCTGGGAAATCCCTCAACTGAGATTTCATTCTTGGGTGATTTTAGACTGTCAAGTTGATAGTTAAAGATAACTAAGACTGTGGTGACAGTATTTTAATATGACATTTCAAGAGAATAGACATCCTTCTAAGATACTAAAGAGAGTCCTGGGCTTATAGTATTCTAGTTTTTGATTTTAGTGCATTCTTTCACTAATTTAGAAAATTGAAGCACTTAAAAAGTGGTCAGTTGGAGAATGTTCTAAAAGTATTAAATATAAGCTGGGCGTGGTGGCACACACCTTTAATCCCAGCACTGGAGAGGCCTCTAGAGGCAGATGGATCTCTGTGAGTTCAAGGCTAGCCTGGTCTACATAGTGAGTTCCAGGACAGCTGGGGCTACAGGAAGACCTTGTCTCAAAAAGACCAAAAAAAAAAAGAAAAAAAGTATTCTCCATCAAACACATGGATCCATCAAAAAAATATTCTCCATCAAACACATGGATCTTGATATTAAGATATTTGTTATAGTACTGTCCTATTTATTTACTTACTTATTTGGGTTTTTTAGTGGGTTAGCTGACATTGTTTGTATTCTTTCTTTAATGTAGAACTTTAAAAAATATTTTATTATTACTTTTAAAAAAATTTTATGTATGTAATTGTTTTGCCTGCATATGTGTAAATGCTCCCATGTTGTACAGTGTCTTCAGAGGCCAGAAGAGGGTACTGGATTCCCTGGAACTGGAGTTATAGACAGTTGTTAGCCACCATGTGGGTGCTACGAATTGAACCTGGATTCTCTGGAAGAACAGCAAATGTTCTTAACTGCTGAGCCAACTCTCCAGCCCCATAATTATACAACTTCTTTAAGCAAACACGTTTATTATTTTAATTTTAAAGGCCACTCTTGCTGGCTTATTTGTTTCAAAGGAATTGCTTGTTAATTCACTCTAGAATTCATGTGGGAAAACTTGGAAGTTTCCCTCCACAGTTATAGATAATTACACTAAATATTTGCAGGGTGTCCTCTCTTTTTGATGTCCTGATGTATGTTTTAGTCCTTTATGTTCTATTTCTTTAAGGCATGTGCCCCAGTAGGCTTTAGATTCAGAGAAAATTTATATAGAATTTCTTAGGGACAAAGTAGTGAAATTGCTTGTCCTTTTTTTTTTTTTGGTAGCCACAGCTGGCCTGGATTCACTATGGAGACCAGGCTGGCCTTAAACTCAAGAGATCCACCTGCCTCTGCCTCCCAAGTGCTGGTGTTAACGGCCTGTGCCACCATGCCTGGTGAAATTGTTTATCTTTAAATGCATTTTTTCCGTTTGTATAAGTAATACGTGAAGAGTGTTACTGTACAGATACTGAATAATATAGAAATATTCTGTGCCAACAGAATTCCAATTCCCAATTCCATTTTCTGCCCTGGCGATGACAGCTAATATTCATGGTTAATGTATCCAATGTACATAAAGTCCAACAATACTGCTCATTTGAATCTGTTTTTTGTTTTTTTTTTTCCTATATTATAGAACAAACTCTTTTGGATTCTGGTGAGGGACATTTCAATAGCTAGCATAGCACAGAGCTTGGAGAATGAAACCCAGTACTTAAAATATTACTTTTCAGCAGCCAGGCATGGTGGTGCATACTGTTAATTCCAGCACTGGGCAGGGAGAGGTAGGCAGATCTCTGTGAGATCGAGCTCAGCCTGGTCTATATAGTGAGTTCCAGACCAGCTGGGGCTACAGGGACACCCTGCCTCAAAAAAATCAACAACAAAAATAATAGCAATAATAATGATACTGCCTTTCATGAATTCAGAACTTTAAAACTTTGAGTTAGTTTTCTTAATGTGCTTACTTAATCTTTCTTTCTCCAATTCTGTGATACTTGTTTGTGTGTGGACTGGAGTTGCCTCTTATTCTGTTGGCATTCATTTGATACCATCTCCTTTGTTTACACAGCTCACTCCTCTTATACAGGCTGACGATAGACCTCTGTGTTCTTACTCAGTATTAGGTGCACCTGTATTCTTAAATTGTGTCTCTGCTGTCTTTAAAAACTGAAATGGTTTGGGTGCTGTTACAAACCATTGCACTCCTTCCAAGCAGCAAGATCTTTGAAAATATATGAAACAGGTATTTTTGCTTGTTTGTTTGTTATTGATTTGATTGCCAGGATTTTCTTATGAATCATGGGGACCAAATAAAATTCCAAGAGACCACTTTTTCTCAGCTGTTTTTTATTTTCCTCAGAAGTAATTTCTTTGGCTATTACTGGGACTGTGATGCATTTTGTATCATTTCCCTCCCCCTACTCAGAATCCCTCGCAGTGTAGGATGTATCTGGGAAATCCTGAGTCTCTCTCTGAGTGTACCTCCTGGCTCTGTCAGCTCAGCCCTTGGCCCTTCCCTCCTTGCACTGGTTCTCCTGCAGCCTACTTCCCACCATTCCTCTCTTCTTATATTCAGCTCCTACCTCCCATCTTTTTCCACTGGAATTCATCTTCCACACTGATGCCTCAGTCAGACATCTGCATAATGTCTGGTTATCTTTACCAGACCAAAATTAAGCACTTGCACCCCCATCTCATAACCCCTGTTCCTTTGTTGCCCAGACTACCCATGACCTCTCTGTGAGCTGTGTCAGGCCAGCAGAGGACTACCCTGGACTGTTGCCTTTCTCTGGACATGTCACCTACTTGCACCCTCTTTTGGCTGATTCTTTGAGAACAAGTTTCTGCCATAGTGTCTCCAGCCCTGCTCAGCACCAAACACATGTAGATGCTCCCTGTAGAGTTTTATCTTGGTTAGAACTGTGTATTTGTCCTTCCAGCAGGGCATGAGTGTTTGAGGATTGGACTCTGTTTGGTACCCAGTAAGTATGGAAGTGAGATCTGAATGATTGCTCTGTAGGTACTAGTGAGGTTGGCTGCACGGTCTAAAAACCTGGTGATCCTCTATATCAGCACAACTGTGTGGTCAGTCCTCTCCCTTTAGTTGTTCAAAGTCAGACACCCTTCATAAACAAATGTGTTCTCACACAGAATGTGGAAAGGGACATGCAGGGGCTTAGTGCCATTAACCAAGCAGGTTTTGAAGTTATTTTGGGAAGAATTTCAGGGTAAAACTATGGAAGAATAAAACTAGTATTTAACTGATTTAACCTTTCTGGGGAACATCCACCTGATATAATAATTAGAAGTTAGAAGTGCCACCCCCCCCACCATTTTAAGCACATTTTACTGTACTCCAGGGAATAGTGGTACATTCCTTGGCCCAGATTTCAGAACATAGTTTTAGACACAGTGGTACTGTCATGCTTTGCCTCACTACAGTGACGGAATGCCTTTTCAAGATAGTATGTTCAGCAGGCTTTTAATATTTATGAAAGACACAAGGAATGTCACTACAAGTGGGAGTTCCTGAGTTCTACAAACTGAACAGAATGGGAATCCTACTGCTTTAAATTACTATGTTAATTCTGTTTTTGCAGTTCTTTTTCTGGCTGTGGGCATTCCGAGAGATGGGGGAGGAGCAAGATGAAATGCTAGGAATTTAGGTCTCATCAAGTGTGAGAGGCTGCTGCATACCTTAGACTCTCTATCTCTTATGTCCAGAGTTACTAGGCTTTAAAATGCTCTCATTCTGTCTTCAGGAGAGGAACTGAGGTGAGGTGGAATAACTGTTTTATTGACTTTGCATTCTTTTTCTTTGGCCCAGCATCAGGGTGTCGACCATTCAAGAGGCTTTCAGTAGGGCTGGTCAATTTAAAAATTTTGATCATTCCAAAGTAGAATATTCAATATTTTTGAGTTCCTCCAAATACTATATTATCAGTAATTTCATCTTTTCTTGAATATTTGTGAGTAAAAATAGAAATGAGAGATGGTTACTATTTTAGAATAGGACTTAAAGTCTAATTTTTGCAGTTATATTAGAAATTTACTGATAACTTGCATATGTGTGTATGTGTGCGCACATATACACATGAAACAACCCTGCCATTAAGAAAAATAAATCTTAAGGCATGAAGAAAATATCTGAACAGTCTCACTGAAGACTGATAAGATCAAACTCTGACTTAAAAAAAAAAAGAAAGAAAAGAAATGCCTAGCTAGTTTTAAAAACCAGAGGGAACCGTATTATTCCAACAATGTACTGACAAATTATATATAGCAGATCAAGAAATATATGTCTAGGTAAGGTTTATCTG